ATTGGGGATTTCTGCGTCCCGGCGTAAGCCAAGAGCAGCACGTGCGAAGCAGGGGCGGGGGATCACTCACAACCATGGAATTAAAGACAGGGAGAGACCCTTGGTATCTATTTACAGGTGCTCCTGTCCTCCGAGGCACTCGTTCTTCATAGTCATGAAGGAGGCAACCAGCACATCGAGTACGCAAGCATAGGAGGTGTGCGCAGGAAGATCCTGGGCACCCGCGCTTCAGATCTTCCGCCACTGCTTCATCAGCACAAACGCCATGGTTCTTAGCCTGATACGGGTCCTTCTGCGAAGGACAAGGACAGTTGTAATGCAGTAAAACCGCTCTACGCCGTTCATAAAAACTCGTGCCCTGATAGGCCAAAATAAATGTCTCCTTCGACCAAATTTCACATCATCTCCTATTAAAATGACTATTCAATCTGCACACAATGCCACAGGAACTCAACTCCTCACGCACAGGTGTTCAGGAGCTCACGGCACGTAGCTAGCATGCTACCTCCTCCAGATCCAACCGGAGAGTCCAAGAGGCTTACTTACCCCTCTCTGGAGGAAGGCCAGGGCCAGCTACTCAGCAGATGACTCAACGAGACTTGGCAGAGGCCCGCAGCAAGCCCCCTACGGCAGAGTGATTCACGGGACGTACCGAATCGAACTCGGGTAGAGGAGCCAACACAACTTTGGGAAAATGAGCTGGAGTCTCTCCTTTCCTTTGCATCTGAAGACAAGTTTGAAGTAGCTTCTGATAAAGCTAGAAAGCAACAGGGCTGCAGCACAGGGGTACATGCATAAAATCAGATTGTATTAAAAAAAAAAACCCTTTCTCTATCAAGACCTCTTACAACTGTCCTCATCACCGTGGAATTTGAGTGCCTTCCAGTGTGTTAATCAACATGGCTTTCATTTGTCATGCAGAGGTCATTCACCCTCCCGCAGGGTCTAATTTGGCCTGGAGAATTCAGTTTATCTGCTGATGTAGGGAGAAAAATATTAATAAAACTTTGACTTTCAAACCTTGCTTGTGTGAAAGAATTGTGCCTTTTCCATTTACAGCAGTTCAGCTGAATTCCTTCCCCAAGCCTACAATGAGCATGTCCAATGACTTCATGTTACGCTTTTAAGCTTTACAGAAGTACAGCCGCCCAGCTGGCCAACTAATAAATGTAACATAAAGGAAGCAATATATTAAGATCTACATTACTGGATTAAAGTTTGATCTGGACTAATAAACAGCCAGCCAGGAAGTAATTTCTTCATTAGGGTATTGTTTCACGAAAATTGAATTATAAACCAGGATGCTCTCATGCAGAAGCGATTAGCTTACCTGCTTTTGCACGGGGCAAATCTCTTTCTTCAGTCTCCTCCTCTTCAAAGTCATTCAGTTGTGCTCTTCTACAGGCACAACCGTGAACAAATTTACCACCGACAGAGGCAGACAGCAGAAATCCTTCTGAGCAGCAGTCCTCCAGGAGTCAACCACTCTGGACCAGGCCCTATCTAGACAGATGTACGGTAACACGACTATTTTTACATCATCCTTGCCATTCGTTTCCATGGCGATCTTTCCAGTTACCAGCAATGAGAGAACATGTCCCAAACATCCACTCGAGCTCCATCACTGCCTGATGTGGCAGACCTCCAACTTGAGAATGGTTCTCCATAGAAAGGACTCCAAAAACATCCACCAAGAACCAGAGCACTTACCACGTTATTATAAAAAGTCCATCTGGATGGAATTTACAGCACAAAAGGTAGAACTAGTGGAAATGGTCAGCAAAGAGGAAATGGAAGGTGCTTCTGGAGGGCAAACAAGCCTCTTGTTTTAAAGGAACCTTTCAAAACATGAGGTGGCTTTTTCACACCCCTTTTCTCTGCCCTTTCCTTGCCTTGTCCACCTCACCCACACACATCCATCACGCTTCCCACCTCAAATTCAGTTTGTAGACAGCACATCTACAGACAAACCAAAGCCAAAGACCAGTCATTATATTTACTTGATGATGAACAAGGTACAAGTGAGCAATGATCAAAGCTGCTTTCAGTTTTGAGAGACAACAGACAACCGTGCTGCCTTTTCCATTTTTGAGGTAGCAGCTACGATAGCTGGCCTTTTGGTGAGACTCAAACACGCATTTGGCATCTACACAATTGTCATTGTGCGGGGTGGGCACGGCAAATGCTGATCAAGGAACATTTCTGGTTAACTAATAACAAAAGCCTGCTCCTGTAGGGTTATTTGGAAAAAAAAAAAAAAAAAAAAAAAAAATTGCCCTCTAAACTTCTAAAGATTTGCAGAATTTACCCTAAAAGTCTTTGTGTAGCAGTGGATTAAGAAGAGATGACTCCACTCTGGAATCAACCAAGACAAGCATAATTTCCTGAGTTTTTGGAAAGAATTTTTGCATGTTGGAACCAATGACTCCAAATGTCAACAGCCTCCTTCCATATAACTATAAACACTGGATGCTTTTCACCCAGCACAAGCTTTATCTGACCTGATGACAACAAGGAATGGTAGTGGAGTGACTGCGAGTCAGCTTCACTAGCATCCCTCACAAAGAAATCAACAGAAGGATGGATGATAACGCTGTTGGGAATACTGAGGAGGAGACCTGCCTCCTTTAAACCTGGCCACATGGGACCTCCTTTTCAGAGGTTCTGAGAAGTTGCAGCTCCTCCTGATTTCAGCTGGAATTGTGGATGCTCCCTCCTCTGGGGAGAAAAGTTAAACAATCTCATACTGTTCCTCTACAAAACTTTCTTTCTGCCCCCTCTGTGTGCAAAGAGAACATTTTTCTTCACAGTATTCCAGAAAGCACAGTGTAAACTCTTTGTGCAGCCCGAGACCAGCGTAAAACATCCAAGCACAATCTTCAGATCACACGTTCTGATATATTAAAGCGTACCCAAACAGAAAATTTTTAACAGAAGCAAACACTTCTCCCTTCACAAAGGAAAAACGCTACAATATTATTACCAAATGAGGAATTAGAGCTATTTGCTGCTAAATCTCTCAAGCTGCAACTCTAGCAACTCACATCAGACTGTTAGATTACTTTGGTAGTTAGTGAACATTTTTAAGTGAGGTAAACCATAAAAAAAAATTTGCAGCAGTTCTTCCTTTGTTTTGAAAGGTTTTACAATGTGTAGTTCTCTACTTAGATGAGGATGGGTACTTCAACCAGTTGAAATGGACTGACTCTACCTTTCTTTGATTCGCAAGGTGCTTGATTATTGGCCTCTATGCTTTTGTTAGGGAGCAACACACAGGCACACTATGGACATTTAAATAAAGACAACCCTGGGCTGTGTTATCTCACTGTAAGAAAACTTCCAAGCATCCCCTGAGGCATCAGCAGGGCCCTTACGCTCTCTCACTTTTTCATCAGTTGAAAGCTTAAAAGCATATTTAAAAAGCTAACTGGCTTTAAATGAGCACTCAGCGAAGCAAGATCTTGTCATGACTCCAATACAACTGACTTTCTTGTCAAAAGGAGAAAGTCTATTCATATGTGTATCAGAATCGCATGGGAAATCTCAGTACCAGCAAGTTTTAGCACCTTCTGCTTCTACAACATACAAAGCTGCTTTCTAGCCCCAAAGAGCACTTTGAAAGGCAAAGCAGCAACTTGCATCCAAACAGATCCCAAGGACAAGATAGTGGAAGGAGCAAATAGGTAAAAAACATATTTTGAAAAGTGGAAAGGTCTAAAGAAATAAGCTATTTTCTGAGCTGATTTATCACAGCCATGTGATACTGTATTATTTTTAATATGCACTTCTAACTTCAGATTTCTGAGGCCAGATATGGCCTTCTGACATATTAGATCACGGTTTTATGGTGGATGGGGTTTTTTGCGTGTTCCACATAAAGTATAAATCTTACACCTGGATGTATTCTCACACTTGACTCTGGGGTAGGCTATAACAGCTGCTTCAACAGCATGTGGTACCACCAGCACAGGACACAGTTTAAAAAACAGTATGCCAAATCTTTGCCTAGTGTAATTTAGTGTAGTTCTACTGACCTTCAATTATTTCCCATAATTTGAAGATCTGATTCATTACATCTCAACATGAACTCCAGGGGTAACTGGCAGAGCTGTACCATAGCACCGCTGGATGGCTTAGCCAAGGGGTGAAACAAGAAGTTCCATGAAATTCTTAGTGAACACAAGAGGTCAAAATCTGAGTTGTGCCTCATCCTCTGCAGAAATGGGTGTTCTGTTACAGCTGTTCCTTGAACTAAATTGCTATGAACATCTTATGCACAGAAAACATGAAACCACTGTTCACACCCACTTAGTTTTCCTCAGATATCTTTTCCTGTTTATTCATTATATGAACTAAATTGTGATAAGAAAATGAAACTGAGACTTCAGGCTTCTATCATCAAGAACCACAATCTTTGTATTTCATCTTTTGTCACTGTGATGCTGGTTAAGCGTACAAACGAGTATCCTGTCAGAATGCATCTAATGAATTGAAGGGAACTCTCTCCCAGGCAAGGCTTAAAAATTCCCAACATCATAAAAAGTTTCTCTAATTAGACTTTCCTGGTCATACGGAAAGATAGCAAACCAAGCGAAAGGTCAGTGAAGTCACAACCCCTCCACTCTTCCAGCGCTAATAATGTCCAGTTTAAACAGCCATTACAGTTACCTTGTAAGCTCTTAAGTTCTGTGCAGGGTAGAGTAAGAGGCGATTATGGCCCGGTTTCTTTAGATATTTCCCATGCATACAGCGAAGACACATTTCATGATTGCTGCAATAGTTACTACAAACCGATCTGATGTTATTTATTTAAGGGTTTTTTGCAGTACAAAACATTACAAGTAAGTTTTCTACATCGAGATAGGAAATTAAAAAATCATTGTTAAAAACAATTTAAAATAAATATATAAAACTGCTATTCCAATCAGGTAATTACAAATGTATTATGAATCAAGTACTTCCAAACTATGTTTACTTTGGAAGTGCATTAATAACACTACAAAAAACAGCCATTTATTTAAATATCAAGTGATTGATTCTCAAATATGGCAAGATTATGTTAGTACAAAAGTAACAAAACTGAATACCCCGAAACATACACAGCACAAGTATTTACTGCATTATCTTTTTCACATCACAATCTCCTTTATGCTGCAAGTTTACTAAGTATGGTACACGTTCGTTTGAACAGGAGATCTTTATCAGTTCCAAGGCACCTTCCTCCCTAAGACACGGTTGGTGATTTTCTGAAAGAAAAACAAAGCGACAGAGATGAGTATTATTCCTCTAAAAATCAAAAACCCTAAGCATGAAGATAGTGGAAGACACAGAAAGTGTTTTCTACAATAAACAGCTGAATAAATTAGGAGTCTTCACAACCTTCACTAGACATGACTGAAGGGGAAGAGATGAAAGTCTATACAATCCTGAGTAGCCTGAAGTAGGTGAAGAGGAAATGTTATTTGCAGACTGCTCTGGAAAAAAAAAAAAAAAAAAAAAACACCACCACCAAAAAAAACCTCCAAACCAAAAAAAAAAAAAAAAAAAAAAACAAACAAACCCACATTGGGGGAGGCAGCATAGAAAATAACTGGTAATAGATTAAAACGAAATAAAACACTGTGTGTAGACCCAGTCTTGTGCAGTTAAACTGCAGAACTCTGCCCTCCAGTGCTGCGAACACCAGATGTTTACACTTCACAAAGCAAGTGGACAAAGTCATGAAAAAAAAAAAAAGCCACCACCAATCTGAAGATGGATTCAAAGCCCCTCAGATGCAAATCACACCAGACTGTTAGAGCATCTTTGAGAAGTACTGCTAATGCTGGCTCTGTTATGGCATTCTTCCCCAGGCACCTGCTAGTGTGACCCGTTCTTATGGCAACAGGCAATCCAGATAATGAAACACCACATCATTCTGCTAGCTGAGCTGGCAGATCACTGACGTTTTGAAGTATGGAATACATATTACGTGGCTTTAGAGAAGTGTAGGATAAAGTAAGAGCTTTGGGTAACTCGTGTATTACTAACAGCAGTGGCAATGATACAGCCATTACCTGACGAGACCTTTTGCATCACACAGATGAACGCAACGCACAGCTCAGCTCTTTATACACACACACAGAGCATGCAGTATATACTATATACACATAACTATATATAGTGTATATGCCAATACAGAATGTACTCTGCTCACATACATACATATAAAAAGCAGCAACGCTGCTGACGTGAATCTCAGTGTGGATTCTGTCCCCAGTACTTCATGAAGCCTCAGAAGGGCTCAAAACGCCTCACACCACAAAAACCTCTGACCAGTCCTTACAGCTCACAAGCCCTTCTGCAATCTAATAAGCAAACCCAGCCAGCAATTAGATGCTATCTCCCCTCTTTGCTCCACTTCCAGGAATTGACTATAAACCAAAAACCCCTAACGTGTTGCTGACATGAGGGAAAATGTAGCCAAGGGGATGGAAAATAAACGTTAAAAAAAAAAAAAAAAGCTTACTGTAAAGCAGCAAGCAAAGTGCAATTCAGTTTAACACCTCTAGAAGCATGTGCTTTTTCCTTTGGGGTAGTGACACCTTGTGGCCCCTATCTATCTTGCACAGGCTCTAAAGGACATGTCCCATCCATAAACAAAAGTGTTTAGTGTTCCTGAATGCTAATATCTTTTTTCTTTTTTAAGGGGTAGAGGGAAGTACATAAATTAACAACTTTGCTATCTCCTTTATAGATGTTTCTCCCATGCTCCCTATTTACAAAAATTACAAACTTACTACATCTAATGGAAAAGCCTCAGAAATGGAACGAATTTGTATCTGATAAAACTCATAAAATTCGTTTTCACTTCACTGGGCTTGAAAGTTCTGATTTATGCTGCCATCAGATCACAAATATGCCTCAACCGTACAGTTTTCAGAATTAAGGGGCATGCACCATTCCCTTATCTGACTAATATAATTTAATGCTCTATTTGAAATTAGAAGTACAAAAGCAAAGGGATACTAGGACAGAACATCAGTCCAGACCCATGTGCATCCTGTGATAAAAATAACTTTGCTATCTTAATAAAGGTAACTATTTAACAATTTGAAAAATTAAGAATACCTTTGCAACCCTCAGTCGCTTTCTAACACAGGAATTTTGATAAGTTTCCAGTTACGTATGAGCCCATACTGTTTCCTCCCGAGGATCTCATCCTCACTCAGTGCTAACAAAACTGTTATTTCATTCTTTCTTCAATTCCCACTGCATTGCCCCACAGTCCCACTGTAGCACATAAATACCTGAAAACAAGCACTGACAGCCCTTACTTCTCAGGTGTCCTGTGTGAGTATTTTCACTTGTACTTTACAAAAGGTAAGTGAACTTTGTTCGTACATATTCATTAATTTGGGGCCCTATTTTGAGCAAAATAAACTCAGTTTCATGTCATTCCTCAACCTGGACACTAATTTTAGATCAGTATCCTTGGTTCCCTACAGCTAACAAAGTCACACACTGCCTCCAGAGAGCAGCATGCCCCACATAGTAGCAGTTGTTGCTCACACTGGAAACATACAATTTTGTTTGGTTGGTTACTCCTCAGGATACATTTTTAGAAGCTGGTGTTCATTTTTTTTCCTGAAGTATTGACCCATAAATTATATCAATATACAGTTATACCTAACACACCTCTAAATTCTGGTGTGAGGATTTCACTTGTAAGTGATACTTCAGCAAGCACTTGTCCATGTTGATGTACATACAGGTATGAGTGTATGTACATGTTTAATTCATTGTTTCCTTTCCTTCCCAAACATGAATCACCCCTAACCTGTGAGCCCTCGACACCCTATAGAAATGGCATGCACACTGTACTGCTAGCTAATCCCATCCTCAGAGCCAGCTGTACTGCTATTAGTGAGGCTTACGCCTAGTTTTACTTTTACACATCTACTCTTTTGGTATCAGTGACAGAAACAGAAGCAACCAGCGTCCCAGCACTGTATTACATCATGGCTGATATGTAATAAACTTAGGACATAAGCACACTTCACTATTACAACAAAGTGTTTAGTTACAGGTGCTGGGAGAGAAGAATAAGTGCTCAGAATCTCCTTCGCTAAGCCAACTGGTCTGGCAGTTTAAGACATCCTCACCTGCCCAGCTGTTTCATTAATGCTCCTCTACCAGGTATTAACATTTACACAGCAGAAAGTCAGACAAGAAAATACATGCGTAGGCCTCGGACACTGCAGAACAGGATGCCTCAGCACACACTTTCACCAGCAGTTTAAGCTACTAGGCTGCTCTCTGGAGCGGCTGGGGCACGAGTACATCCCTTTCTCACTACGATGACCAGTGCTAGCCTGTCAAAATCCAAAGCGTGAAGGACAAAGAACTTTCATTAGGGACAGGTCATGCCACTAAGCACTGACCTGGGAGTCAGAGAATATGACTACTATGCCCAGCTCCACCATCGACCCCACACAAACTTGAGCAGGGCACTCGACTTTCTCTGCCTGCCTCTCTTTTCCCAAGGATATGTCTGGATACATACCAAATGATCTTGGAAGGAACTGTCCCCTACTAGGTTTGTGTAAGGCACTACAGGACTCCTCCAGGTGACTGCGATTAAAATAAGAATCAGATCTATTCCAGAGTGCTGATCTGCTGTTCTACATCAGCAGTTCACAAACTTGCCACTATGAGAGATACTCAGACCACAGTTTGGGTACAGTGCTACAGATCATTTAAATGATACAACCCTAGATTACACACATCTTCAGTCTAGCTTTTGTACCAGCCATTTTCTTCTCCTAATACCCTGTGTCATCTTTGGAGTCATTCCACAAAATCTGTGTTTCTTTTTTTCATGCATAATCAGATCCGCTTAGAAACTGATGCTCTCAGCAACACATTAGCCAAATTCTAAACAAACCATTCACTGTATTTACAGCTACTTACTGCAGCTATTCTCCATCATCAAGGAAGACAAAAAGATTACAATATTTACTGCAATGAATCATCATTCCTCTTCCAATCAAAACCACACTTGTATAGAAAACTTCTGATCCGATTCCCTCTCTGCTTCCAGCTGACAACTGCCAGCATTCATTAACTCTTAAGACTTTACTGTACCAGCATCTGAGATTCTCAGACAAGTGAAAAAAAAAAAAAAAAAGTGCCCTGAATATACCCTGCAAAAGTATAGCATTAAATTCAAGTAATTCTAGTGGTAAATACCCACAATCAGATTAGGAAGGTATTCTGGATAATACATTGCATTACAAGCCCTGACTTTTAAAATCCAATTACTGCTGTTCCCAACAAATAACTAACCCTATTATTCCAGCTCTGGTAGCACAACTCAGCCAGGAAAGAGTTGCAATGCTAAAACTGAAGTGCAAGCTTAAGATCCAGATGAAAAAAAAAAAATCAGTTTAAATTTTTAATGCATGTCCTTAAATCACTAAGGCTTATAATGCAGTTTATTGCCTGCTGCCAGAGTTCTCCTGAAGGCTATATTTTATGGTATATGTGTTAGTTAAAGAGTGAGAAGGTAAGAACCTCACTGTTTGTTGCAAACTATTGTTTCTTTAGTTCTTATTAAGTCTTAAGAGAAAGCTTAAGCGTATGGATGCCTACAACAGCTCGAAAAGGGATACATTGGTCAGTTTTGGAGATGCACTTCTCAGAGGAGACAAATGGGCCTCCTCTGTTTTATCAGAACATTATAAATTGATACCGCTTGTTACACAGAAATACTAGATAATTAGATGTGTGCGCATGGGAGGGCATAGGGACAGAAGACTCTCGTCCTTGTTACTTATTGTGCTTAACACAGGCAAGTCTCTAGCACAGCATTCTTCAATCTTTCTATCAATAATTAAACCTGTTTAACAGACAGATGCAAAGCACATGTTGCACAACTGGGACAGCCAGGGAGGAAAAGTAGCAGTTGTTAGCTGGGACAGAAGCAGCTCCCTGCAGGGATCTCACTGCTTCATGGCAGAATGAGGCAGGATTCAGCAGAGTCTTAGAGTAACCCAGCAAAATGGGTCCTGCTGTTTCCTTCTCCTGCTGACCAAAATCCTGGAGTCCTCACCCCACCTTTGCTCTGCTGCTGGTTGTGTGGTAAGGCCCCAGCACAGAAACTGTTCTTGAACAGCTGCGTAAGTGTGGTTCAAAGTTAGTCATACCCACACTTAGGGATACTGTTTTGTTCTACAGCTTGCCAGACACAGGAGATCCTTGGCTGATCAGTGCTGGTGCGGTAAGACCACGCTATCAGCTGAACAAACACTTAATGGTGAAATCCACAGCCCCCAAAGTTAACAAATTACCAGCAGGACTGTCAATTCTCCATTGGAGCAAAATTAAGAATGATGACTCCATGCTTTGTTAACCATGGTTGTGAAGTGAGCTGTGAACTGTGTAAGTTAAATCCATTTACAGCAAGGGTACACGAGAGCAGCCTTCAAGTCAAAGAGCCTATCCATGAAATATCTTCTTTAAATATGCTCCACGATCCCTCCGTTCTGCCCTCAAGACTGCGCAAGGCCTTTTTTGTATGCTTTAATCAGGACGATGCTTCCTTGTCTTTTTTCCATACAGCATGTGTAGGTACTGGAAGGATTTCAGGTTAGGTAGGGGGATTTTTTTGTTCCACATTTTGCTAGGCTTGACTGCTTTGACCCTGATTAAATGTTAATATATCCTAGCCACCTAGAAGTTGCAAAAGAATACCACAGAATTAACATTTAGTAAATATTACTATAATGCTTGTGACCGCAAGAAAAATAAAATTCTAAAATGTTCCAGTATAAATATTTGACCAGAAGACCTACCGCTTTGTAAAGCTGTGCTTTCAGGCGGTATGAGTTGTATTCCATTTTTCTCTTCTCTTCCTCTCGCTTCTTCTGCACCTCTGGCAGCTGCTCATAGATCCTTAAGTGTAAATACAAAAAGTCAAAAACACTGACTTTGAAGGAACTTACTGAGATTAAAAAAAAAAAAACAAAACAAAACAAAAAAAAACATCCTCTGTTTTATCTTCACATTCTGTTAAAAGCTACTGGCCAACCACATCATAGAAACATTTATTTGGGGGTTTACTAGTGTCACACAGGGAAAATGTGGAATACATAGCAGTTGTGATACCAGAAATTCCCACATCCCATAATGCCTTTCTCTTACAAGCAGCACCTCCTAAAAGCAATATTTATAACATTAAAATGACCATACAGCTGATATGATTACCAAGCTGCAAAAGGTAGAGCTTCAGTATCTTCAGTACAGAATAGCCCCATTGCTTTGAGAGTATGCTGATTCCGAGTAACATGTTTATCCACCAACAGCAATATTTTTATCCCAAGAATAACCTGAGTTAAGCTATTTAGGCATCTTTTCAATATTTTCAACATTCAGCATTGTTGCCCTGTTTAGGTGAATGCTTTGTCTTCTCCAGTGCTGAACTTCTCCCATACCAGAGCCAAACAGCAAGGGATTCTTTGAAGTGAATAGAAGGTGACTGGTGCTCAGTACAGTCAGTGCGCTATTCTAATCTGTTTTACATGCTACCATCTCGAGGAGGGACCCAAGAGCTAGGATGACAGTGTATTGCTCACACTGACATCCCCAAATCTTCCTTTAAGATCATAAAGCTTTACTAATTTCATGACAGTGGTTGCCAAGAAATATCCAGCTTCAAAAACATTGTGGTTTATGGGAGGTGGAAATGAATGATGTCCAAATATTTCAGTCCTGTAATACTTAAAGCAAGACAGAACTTTTAGAGACTGTTTCATTCTTACGTCAGTATAGTATCTTTGCATAATTACTGTTGGCACTTCAAATATTTTTAAACACATCTATGCCTTCAACTTGTATTATCTGAAACAACTTCAACACACTCCATTTTGAACATTGCAAATCAATACTGCCCACCAGCCAGGAGGGACATTTTTGACAGTTGTCTTGGTACTAATTCCAGCAGGAAAATAAGTAAGACTTCAGACTGGCAAGAGAAGCAAGGGAGGCAAATGTGTATCAGTTTGCACCCATTTGCTATTTAGTCAGTACAAGTTAGGTGTCATTTGTATGTTTCAAAAGACAGAAGGACAAGAAGTTACCTGGAAAACAAAGTAATAGGAAGCTGTAGGATAACACATAACTAAGTAGGCAAAATCAAGAAAGCAAGGAATCAAATCCAAATCTCAATTAGTACTGAATTTTACCTCCTGTCTACTTCACCAGCATCAGCTAGGGAGAGCAATACACAGTTGTAGCTTCTACAGTCCCCCACACAAATGTGTTTACCAGTCCATCAGACTTCACAGTGGAATTGATAAGCAAGCAAATACACATCCAACACCAAAAAAACAAGAAAACACAAAAAAGCAACTGTACTCTTTCCAGTGACCTACCTTCCTATGTATCCCTATTTTCCTACTCTGTCTGCAGCTGTTCTTAGGAGGTCATCTTTTCTAAAAATGTCACTACCCACATTACCACTATAGAAAACAAGAAATAAATCACATTTTTATGTTTATTTTACTCCTCTTATGCTTTGCTGGAAGGCAGCAGAGGGTGCTAGGTCTCTGCATGTGTTACTGGATGGGGGGGCAGGGATATCTCCAAGATTTGGGCTTTTGCTTTACTACCATCTCACCATTCTCTGAAGGCTTTTGCCATTCTAGGGTTCCACTCAAGGAAAGATCAGGATTTACCCCTGACAAATCATCCCACCATAAAGATGTTTAGAGCAAGAAGTGGGCAATGCAGAATTATAGATAAATGAATTGAAAATTGTTTTCATTACCTCTAGCCAATTTGCCATGAGAAATTCCATTTATACCCTCACAGAGAAAAAGAAAAAGCTTCTGCACTCATAGGTGTGGATTTCAAAAGAACGGTACGGAATAAATTACTTCTCAGCTCCAGCTGAGAGCTGGAGTATGACAGCAGCAAGAACAAAAAAAAGAAAATCACCAAGTGTGACTGCCTGAATCAGTCTCCATAGAAGTCCTGCTGACTTTGGTTATTATGAAATCAGAGCTTCTGAAAGTACATGAGTTCAGATACATCAATGGCCGAGTCCAAGTGACCTGAACCCAAATCCTTCTACTTCGGCTCAAACATGTGGACATGCATTCCTTGGGGAACTGGTGTATTTACTGTATTTACCACTTCTGCCACCTCTCTATTAACGCCCTAAAAATACTTTTAAATGCCAAAGGCTACTGAAATAAAACATTATTTTTTGACTCTCCCAGCATATATCTCAAGGGGTTTATTTTATATATTGTGTATTTCAGTAGATATTTTGTAGAATCAGTGTAACTGAGGTTGGAAGAGGCCTCTGGAGGTCACCTAGTCCAACCTCCTGCTCAAAGCAGGGCTAACTTCAAGGCTAGAATGGGCTACTCAGCCCCCATCCTTTCAACTTGTGACTATTTCCAAGGATGCAGGCTCCGCCACCTCTGCGCAGCCCTGCTCCACCACTTCACCACCCTCCTCGTGAAAAACTGATTTCCTGGTCTCCAGTTAGAATTTCTCCTTACTGTAACACATCACCACTGCTGCTTGTCCTTTCACCGTACGCCTCCAAGAAGACTCTTCCTCTGCCTTCTCTAAACCCTCCTTCTGGCAGGGAAACACCACTGCCAGATCCTCACCTTCAGCCTCCTCCTCCCCAGGCCAAACAATCCCAGCCTCCACAGCTTCTCCTCATGCACCAAGTGCTCCAGCCCCCTGACAGTCTTGGTGGCCTCCACCAGACTCAGGACACTTTGCTGACCTCTCTCTTGTGCTGGCAGCCCAGAACAGGAGGCAGGATCCAGCTGTGGTCCCATGAGCGCCAAGCAGAGGGAATATCCACTTCCCTCCACCTGCATGAAATGCAGTGTGTAGCTGGCCTTCATCCCTGCAAGAGCACGCTGCCGACTCATGTTCAAATTTGCTGTCCGCCAGCTGTCAGGCCCCCAAGGCCCCTTCCAGAGGGGCCACTCCACAGGCAGTCTGTCCTCAGACACTGCCAAGGGGGGTGTCCATGGTTGGGGGGGGCGGTTCTGTCCCAAGGAGAGACTTGGTATTTCTTATTGTTCAACTTCATGAGATTCCTCTTAGCCCTTTCCTCCAGCCTGCAGAGATCTCTAGAAACTGCAGACCTACTCTCTGGCATACTGACTGGTCCTCCCAGTTCACTGTCACCTGCAAACCTGCTGAGGCGCGCTCCATCCTATTGCTACTACCGACAAAGATGCTGTGGCACAGTCCTGGCCCACAGCACTGTCCCTTTCACATAGCACAAACCCTCCCTGCATATAGCATGGACATTCCAAGACTTCAATGCAACGAAGCACTTGCATATACGCTGAAAACCCAAATACTTAGAAGTATCCCTTGCCTCAAGGTACACTCTTGACCTTTGTTTTGTTTTGACTCTAAATAACTTACAGTATTATTATATTTTTATGTAACTTTACAAGTTATCAGAGACAACTTCATGAGTCTCTAATTTACTTTTAAGTATTTATGCTGTTTCTCAACTGGTACTCTTCCAAACCACCTCCTCTTGACCCCGCTACCATTTCAGAATCTAGCTGCAATAAACTCCATTTTGTATTACACCTTCACATGGTCTCTCTGTAGCATAGATATTCCAAGTGTTTAATACATTGTTAGTGTGCTGTGCACTTTATATATATAAATCACTTGAGTCAAAAATAAGGCAAAATCTATCATAAGGTCCTTTTTTTCAAGGGGTAAAAGCCTCTGTATTCCTTTGAGGGTAGTTATTTCTTACATAAAGCTCCTTTCATTTGGTGAAATGATACCTCACTTTCTGCGCCAGTTACCTAGTTTGTTAATGTTTAAAACTATACAGATGCTCCAGTAGCCCCCACCCTACATTTCCTCTCCTTTTGGGATCCAGCACTTGCACAGTTTGCTGCAGTGCTTGGATTGCAGATACTGCAGTAGAGTACTCAGGTTTAGTTACAGAAATAATTTTTCCAAAATATCTCGTTTCTTGGATTTTCTAGATAGATGCTTTGTCCCTCTGATAAAGTGCCTACACCTCACCCTGAAAAAGCTGAGTTACCCCCAATTCTTTGACTGCAGATACAATTCATCCACTTTTCCAACCCATTTACTCAGGTCACCCATCTACCTGAAACAGTTTTCTTAACCTTACCGTTTAGATCTTTGAACCATTTCACTCTTTGGAATTGTTCTTCTCTTTTCTCTAATCAGAAAACCTAAGTGGAAAATTTTGAGAGAAGAGAATGGTGAACAAGTCTACTTCTCACAAAGAATACTATTGCAACAATCTGACTCCTTTATAAGTTATGTATTCTTATAGACAATACACACACCCCTAAGTATAATGTGGAAATTCATTAATTCCTACAGAACATAAAAAGCAGAACCATAAAGGTACCTCTGTCGGACAGCATGTGACTTGCATTCCTGTAGCCCTTTCTTTTCTCTGGAGGATTAAACAGCTCTTCTCGTTCAGACTGCAGTATGCTCTGTATCCTCCTTTCCTCCATTACAAGCTTCAGATGCTTCACACGCTCTCCAGAGCGGGAAATGAAATCAGGGCGATGCACTGCAAGAGCCTCCTAAGATGGGATGACACAAAACAAAGTCTAAAGTGGCCACACTGTCTGCCTACAGCTGGATGGGAATAATCCAAATATCTAACACCATTACCAAAGCATGGAAAAAATCCCATCAAAGTAGTATGTGGTATAACATACAAGATCTTATATCCTTAATGCTGGGTAGATCCTCAGAGACCTTGTTTAACAAACTACTTGTCAACAACCAGAAAGTTAACTGGCCAGAAAGAAATATCATGGCTAATAATAATTAGCAAAAGGGACACAAAATTCTTCTCAAAAAAGTTAACAAAAAGTTGAGCCCATAGGATAGAAGATTCGTAACTTATTACAATCTTCCTTATTATAAATTAGCAGGCTCATCAACATTAGCAATTTATTTAGTATCAGTAGAGGAATTTTGAAAGTGATCTCCTGATATCTCCGTTTGCCACACTTCAATTTCCATCACAGGGCAGTCTCTGAGCACATGAACAGATGCAACTGAACTCAAAGAAACTTCAGACAACTGCACCTTAGTTAGCACTTCTTAATTTACATTTCACTTGCTGTGGACAATCTCTTTTAAAAATATTTCTGTACACTAAATCTGTATTTTTCCACAGATACTTAGAGCAATCACACCTATCTGAAGTGTACACCATATATGCATGTGTGTGTATGTACACACACATACACTGTTTGCACTGTATGAATTAAAGTTCATTTTAATCACGTACTATGTACATCACACAGTATTATCTCTGCATGGAAGCAAGTATGACTTGACATTATGTCAGCTACATTCCCTCTAGTTCCTGAAGCCAAAATTTAAGCCCTGAAATATTAGATCAATTCAAATAGTCTGTTGTGGAAAGCCAGATTACCATAAGAAAATGGACTAGTGAATTCGTTGGTTTTCCTGGGTTTTGTTACATTTGGTTTGTGTTTGCTTGTTTGTTTTGTTTCTGTTTTTAAGCAGAAGCAGTCTGTAACATGGTTGACTTCCAATGATTATAAAGGTGAAATAATAAAAAGAAGGAACAAAAAGTGTTTCCACAAGATTCAGCATAACTCTTGAAATCCTACTGAGATCTCAGCAGCCTTATAGTGCAGCATGCCTTTACCTGTAGTGTAAGCTTCACAAACGGCCGCAAGGACCTGTTTTCAGCATCTCTTTCTGGAACTGCTGGCTGAATCATGTTGCTGTGCTGATGCTCTTGCCAGTTCTTCTCTCGGAGAGGCTCTCTCCAAGGCTTTGTGCTGGTCAATGGTTCAAACCAAGATGGACCAGGACCAGAAAAGGAATTGGAATGGTTTTCTTTCCTAGATTCAGATTTCAAGTCTTCTGCTTGGACGAACCATGAAATCCCTGTTAAGAGACCACAGAAGAGAATAAAGATTTGTAGACAACACATGTGCCGATTTTCTATCCCCATCTATGGCCCTTTATATGCCTGTGCTGGTTTTGGCTGGGATACAGTTAATTTTCCTCAGAGTAGCTAGTATGGGGCTATGTTTTGGATTTGTGCTGAAAGCAGTATTGATAATACAGGGATGGTTTTGCTATTGCTAAGCAGTGCTTACGCAGAGTCAAGGACTTTTCTGCTCCTAGCACCACCTCACCAGCAAGTAGGCTAGAGGTGCACAAGAAGCTGGGAGGGGACACAGCTATGACCAAAGGGATATTCCAGACCATATGACATCATGCTCAGCAATAAAAAGCTGGGGGAAGGAGAAGGAAGGGGGGAGGTGTTCGCAGTTATCGCATTTTGTCTTCCCAAGTCACCGTTACATGTGATGGAGCCCTGCTTTCCTGGAGATGGCTGAACACCTGCCTGCCGATGGGAAGCACCGAATGAATTCTTTGTTTTGCTTTGCTTGGGTGAGCAGCTTTTGCTTTACCTATTAAATTGTCTTTACCTCAACCCATGAGTTTTCTCACTTTTACCCTTTCAATTCTCTCCCCCATCCCACCCAGGGGGGAGTGAGCGAGCAGCTGTGTGGGGCTTAGCTGCCATCTGGGTTTAAACCATGACAATGCCCAAGGTCTTAGCTAAATCAAATCAGTGGCCTAACACTGCAATAAATACTCACTTCAGTTTAATAACAGTGTGACTCTGTAGCACACATCTGTGGCACTTTCAAAGGAATTCCTTTGCCAAGTGTCAGAAAACCAGCAAGCCTTTATCAAACAACACTTTTGAAAAAGCACAAAATGGCTTAGTTTGCAAGTTTCTCTCTATACTAAGAATAGTTATTTATCAGCAATTACACATTTTTAAGGAGCCTCTCTGCTGTCCTAAGCCCTATGGCTTTTTATAGATATTTTTGAAGATCAAATGCATTACATTTTCCAAATGTTAAACATGTATACAAGAATTAGATTACTCACAGTTTACATACATAATGGGATTTGAATACATCAGCTAGTACTCTGAGCAGATATTCTAAATTTTCTAAATTAAACCAGTATGAGACAGAATGATTTGTCCCTACAGCAACAACAATGATGACTAAGGAAAATATTTTTAAACGTTTAATTATCACATTGTGAAGACTGACAGGGAATTGGGGGGGGGGGGGGGGGGGTAAGGAGGCTACACCATCAACCCAAAAATGCAACTCTAGCTAAAAGAGGGAGAGGACTCTAGTTCTTCTGGTACCTACTCCTGAAAAAATATGTGTTCTTCAAAGCCTCAGTACCTGAAACAATAAGTACAACTTACAGTGACCAGTTACTCAGAGCTTAACAAAACCTTTTATATCATACAAATCAAAATTAAGTATCTGTACGATTCCCATCTCATTCATCCTTCCTTGCCTTATTCATTGCTTCCTGTTTACTACCTTTACTGGCTAGGTTGCATCTAACAGCTTGATTGAAAATGCCATCATAATAGAGCACTAGAGAGTTCACTTGACATAGTGGTTTTGTTTAAAATTCATTGATTAAAAACAGAGTAAGAACTGACTGTACTAGCGACAGACTACTCTGTGTCCTAGCTAATCCTCCTCACATATTATGCCAGTTGCTGTCAAGATGTACAGCTTTTCTGGTCTGCGGAGAAAGTGTATTTTGGACTGACCTTGTGGTACATGCAGCCTACTCCTTTTTGTCCTTTTCTCCATGAAAAAATTGCCTGGCTGTCCCTTCTGCTTACTCTTGCTTCCTGCTGCCTGATGATCTGTGACCATACCATCTGACTCTCCAAAATTACCATCAACACAATGCCAGGGTTCCTGTGGCCATTGATTTGGCTGGCTAGATCTTGGGGTAGGAAAAGTCACACCAACATCTCGAGTATTTTTCTTAGTTCCACTGTTCACAATCTCCAAGTCTCCTGTAGTTGAAAATGAAGCAGTAACATCTTATTCCAGAGCAGCTGGAAGTACTTCAACATCAGCATGAGTGACATGCATAGTTCAGGGGATGACCATCATTTTTTACTTTGAAGATGAAGGAGCACTTTCTTTACCCCACCTTCAAGAGGCAAAATCTTTTATATTCCCACTTCCAATTCAAGGAGAGTTTGCAGGATTGTTACTACATGATAATCTGAGTAAAATTAAAGCGGTGTAAACCAAGTACCCCAAGCAAAACAAGCATGTGCGTATATATATATACACACACTGGGGGGAGGTGGGGGTGGTGGAATTAAATTTGAACCAACTATGCCCCTGGCTGGGGACTTGAGTTGACTTTTGGAAGAGTCAACTTCAAATCTGCTGCTGAAAGACACAATGGCAGGTCAACACACAGCTTTACATTTTGGACAAGGGAACTGCAGGTTTTTTTGGACCTGTTAGTTTACCCAGTGTGTCCTATCCAAAACTGTGTTTTAGGTGTAAAAGAGTTTGCCCACAGCACTACAAATATTTAACAGAAACACATGAAGCATAAGGTGTCAACTAACATTCAAGAAGTCATAATACAATCTTGAAAGCAAGCCATGAAAATACTCTTCTGATTCAATCCACTTGCACATGAAAACAAAGCAGTAATAAATAAGTGGTATGTCTGATGAATAAAACAAAGCCATTACTCGATGTGATGATGCTAAGTTGGCCTGTAAATGAAAGCAATGAAGAAACTGATAACTGCCACCAGAAAAACCCAAATGCAGAACTGCACCAGTCCAGGACCAGCCCATGTTTTAAATAGAATGTAACATCCAAAATATTACCAAGGTGAATATGAAACACTGCAATTGCCTTCTGAAATAGCATATGCCTACAAAATACATTCTGTGAGTAACAGATGTCTTGCAGAGAAAACAATATATAAAAAATACAGTTAGTCCACCTTTGCTATTGAAATGGATCAGAAGCTTAGGTCAATAAACTTATAAGTAAGTGAGAACACTGGTTACTAAAGCAGACCAAGAAAGGAAAGGAAATGGCTTATTTCAACTGGAACATAACATCTTTCTCTCCAAATGCTTTTAGTGAATTTGAAGAATGCTGCTTGTACATACCCATCACCAGAAACATGCACCAGACTCTGGAGAAAGGTTTCCAAAGAGATGAAAGGCAGAAGCAAATACAGAAAAGACAAGTCTGGAATTCAACAACTCACCTGCTTGGATACCTTTGTTTAGCATCCGTGTCCGTCGCTTGTTACTAAGAGCAGAGCTTGGCCCCCAAGAACTGCTGCTTGCAGAAGTTGATCCCGATGAGATTGCATTCTAGAAAAAAAAAAAACACACACAAGAGAATAGAAATTCCTAAAATACTAACAGAAATGAACAGAAAGTGGGTTTTAAACAGCAAAAAAGTTATAGTTGTCACTCTTTTACTTGTTGTGCGCCTTGACTCTATTATTATTTAGATGTTTATCACAGGCTGATCAGTGTGTCTTATTGCTATGCCACACAACAGCCAGCCTTGACTTTATCCTCATGCACCAATGCGCTTTCAGCATCCCATTATAGTAAGAAAAGCACATTATTTCTGTAGGCAAGAGCTTGCCTGTGATAAGATTCTGTACGGTGCTGAGCATCCTCCAATTCATTTGTCCAAAGTTCACGGGACAATATGGCCTGTCAAGACAAACTTACAAAGAACCTTTGCTATGGCAAGATCATTTGTTGGCTATACTTTCATGAGAAACTGCAAAGCGTGAAATATTTCTGCTTTGGAAAGAGGGAGAATAAACATCTAGACTGAATTCTATATTCCCACCCTCTCAAACCGAAAGCCTTTAAAGGCTTTTGCTGGAGGGACAAACTGTCTTGAAAGATTAACACGTTGCTTTGTAAATTCATAACGAACTCCAATTCTGTACCATTGGCATGAAAGAGCAGAGTCATTTCAAAACACAGGAAGTTCTATCACCCTGTGATCCTCATTACACAAAACTCTCCAGGTGGAGAAAATTAACAAAAACAAGAAATAGAAGACAAGTGCTAAGAGCATGGTTTAGGCAAAACACTAGTTTCATATCACCACCACTCACACAAACAGAAGTTCCAGCTGCAGGGATGTAAGCAGCACAACTTTGTTATAGTAAATTAATTTAAATTTTATGACATGTTATAACTTTACCGCCATTTAAAAAGGAGTATACTCTGTAAGTGTAAGGCATCCAGTCCACAAGCTTTTTGGTTATATAAAATACAGAGAAGGTTAGTGCTTTATTATCAGCAATTAACTGACAGTGCTTCCCCAGGCTTCAAATCCAACAGTGCGGCACAGACCAATCTCTGCAACTCCATTGAATTTAATTTTTAATTATGAAACAGATTTTTTTTTCCTTGATCATAGCAATTAGTATCCTGTTAGTAACTCATAATGCTAGCCACGACGGAAATGAACAGAGGCTTTTTTTATTACCTTTTTATTGAACCTCTGCTATCACCACTTCAATGCTCAACATAATTTTATTTCAACATTAAAAGGAGGCAATTTTTACTCATGCATACTGGCAAGAACTCTTTTTTTAGTTTCATAAAACTATTACAGCTCTAGTAGAGTGCACTAGACAGATGTAGTAGATATGCATCTTCTTTCAGCGAACAGAAGCAAATTTGAATATGTGCTCAGCAAAAGGGAAGAGTATAAAGCAAAGAAAAAAACCCAAGATAACCCATTTACACACACAAGCATATCAGCCTGCAGAAATAAATATAAGCAGCTATTCAATACTGAATATTGACATGCATATTCCTATTTGGACTGGAATATTCAGTGCAGTGCTTTCAAAGCCCTTCAGCAGTTGAATAGCGTAACCTTTAGCTTTGTACCTGCTACCAGATGGCAGCTTGAAGAGTGCTTTAGAAATAACAGAAACTGGAATAGATAAAAACCTTCTGGGATGGGTTCAGCATCTATAAATAAAAAAAGCTGTAACCAAGTTTTCTGGAAGCAGAGCTGACAATAGGCTGTCATAAAAAAAAAAAAAAAAAAAAGCTAAAAAATGCAGCACTTGCCTGAAAGATTCATACAGTAGCCTCTCTAGGAGTAGAGCTCCTCCTATAAACGAATATCTGTCTCCGAACCACTGATATTTGCAACAAACAAACAAAAAAAATCTTGATTTCTGTTCAGCCAAGCATCACAGACAGTACCAAAATTTGGATTTTAAATTTAGCTTGCCATTTTGCCATCAATTTTCTCTCACTCCTTACTTGAGGTGGGTCATGCATCCCTTTATATGTATTTTTAAAAGGAACACTCCACCAGCAGATAAAAGATACTACTTTCTAAAGCCATATGGGCTCAATCCAACATCAAGCACTGGGAACAGTGAGCCTTTATTCCCATATAAGTATCCCTGCAATCAGTTACCTCATGGGTGATTTTAACAGGCAAAAGACTACATGCTGTTTTTAAGGTCCAAACAGACCTTGAAAGATTAGTCTTATGAATGGAATATGGAATAAAATCATCTCTGAAATACTACAACCATGCAAGACATGTTGGATCCTAATTTCATTGTTAGATGGTCAGTGTTCTGATTAATGGCCCTAATGTTGCAAAGTTTATGACAAATTTTATTTTACCTTTAAATAAATATTATGAATAAAAATATTAATAAAAATATTTTTAAACCATTCTTAGTCTTGAAAAAGACTGTTTCTCCCCTAGACATGCATTCATTAGCTTACATGACACACAGACTGAGTTTGAGTTCTTTCTATTAAAAAAAACTAACTCATTTTAATGAAATCTATTAGTAATGATGACAATACCACTTTCTTCTGGTAATATGAAAAAAAATTATTTCTCACTTTTTCCTATACTTTTCAGCATTAATTAATATTACTGAACACCAAAATTCTGTAATTTCTTATGATAATCACCAAACCCATGCCAAGACCCCCTTTCAGGAAATTAATTTTCGTTTCTCCTCCAAAGGGCAATGGCCAAAGTCAACTGAAGTAATCAGCTTAACTCCAGACTTTTCACCTAGAATCCTTAGGGACGAGATTTGGTATTTTAATATGCCTAAACTACCAAATACAAAAATTGAAAAAGCTTACAACCAACACTCAAGCAAGACAAAATTCCAACATTTAAAATAGACAAACAGTAAGAAAATTCAAATAATAATTCCAATTTTTATGAAATTGTATTTATTGTTGCCCAGATATATTCAGGTAGCAATAGGCAGTCAAAATCTACAGCCTCAACTTACCACCGTCTTCAGGATTGCTAAAGCACAGAACCTGCAGGTAACTAGAAATCAGATACAGCAGGATCTTGCTTTCCAAGACAAATAAAGGAAGAGAAAAAAGACAAATAAGAACAAAGGGAAAGAAAGCACAACTGATGTTTTAAGAGATTTTGAGCTCGTCCTTATTCCTGGAAAAGCAGAGAGACTTGTTTGAGCTACTTAGATCAAAGACAGAAGCCTATGATATAAACAACACTCTCTGGGAAATTTTAAATTATTCTCCAAATAACAAACTCTGCTACTGTACAGCAGTTTAAGAGTTCCTGTAACAATTAGTTAAAATTGTCTTTTGGTCTAACTGACCACATACCTGTATCTCTTTCTTTTTCCTGTGTCTCTCAGAAGTAACCTTTGGATATTCTACACCCACTGCTTTGCCACTTCCCTTGTCCCACTTTTCAGAGCGACTTTTCTGGTGGTTGATGGTACAATAAAGCTGGGAGAGTCTTGGTGACACCCGCACTCTTTCATGTCCAAAAGCCCTGATCAGCCTGGCAGTATCAATGGTGGAAATGGAACTGCTCACCTCAGTCTGAGTAGCAGTTTCCATCTCTGTTTGGGTCACCACATCGGATTCTGAGGTGGTAGAACTGATTGTGGTGCCATGATCTGTACTGAGCCTTGCCTCTGAGGAAGTGTCACTAGGAGTTTCCAAGTACTGCTGATGCTCCGAAATTTTATTCGTAATTTTTTCTCCTGACCTATTTTTCCCAAGCTCAACAAAGTTATTTTTATCATGGGTGATATATGGTCTTCCTTCAACATGGGTTGCATCAGGCTTTAAGGTACTTTCAGACCTGCTCTTCTCTGGCAGTCTTATTCTCTTCTGTTCTCTTCCCTTTATTTTCTTTTCAGATTTTGTTGGTATTAGTGTATGCCTAATGGGATTCTGAAGGACCCTGGCCAATCGATCGAGGCGTTCAACAAGTGACAGCTCACCGTTACTCCTAAAATCATGGTGCTGGTGTCTCTTCCGGCACTCCAAAAACTTAATCCAGAGTTCATCTAAGCTACTACTGGACTGGGTTCTCTGTCTTGGTGGTCGGTCTTTCTCCACATTCTCATTTAGGCGAGTTGTTTGGCTACGTGGCAAAGGATAACTTCTAGCTGCCTTTTGTTCTGCTTCTCGTCTGCCATGTTGAAGTAGCTCCTCTCCTGATGTTTCATTCCCCAGAGATGTGCTAACATTTAGATCCTCATTCTTGCTGTAATCTTCTTCTGCAGTGAGTGGAAAGAATTCATTTTCACCATCTTTTTTATGACGAACAGAGAAAACACACTGATGACGATGTGCTTTTTTCCGACTCTGCAAGACAACACTTGAGGAAGGTCTAGCATGTCCAATACCAGAACCATCTTCTGACAGCTCGCTGTTAGACAGGAAGTAGCTCTCACACACTGGCATTGGATGATGAAGGTAGAACCGTGCAGATTTGAAGACCGAATGAGTGGTTTTTACAGACTTCGAATGATCTGCATGTTCTAGAAGAGAAGAAAACACTTTAATTCTTTGTTTCTTTACAGGGAAGCAAGTAGCAAACAGCAAATCTTAAACAGGATAATTTTCATCCTAACACTTTCCAATTGTTTCAAAGGATTAAAAGCAGGGATCAGTGTACCCATTCCCAAAATGCAACAAACTTAGAAATGAAGTTTCAGCATTATTAAAAGTACACATATAATATTTTGTATAATTTGCAACACGGAATCCAAGAGATTACATCCAACGGAATCTGAAGGAGAAATCTAGTTACACCACAGGTAACTACTCTGACCAAAATTTGGACTGAGTCTTTATTTATATTTATGGAAACTCATGGCAGGCAGCCACAATTCATTTTGCCTCTTTCCAGACAAATGCCCAGGGAGTACAAGTGTTCCCTAAGGCTATGCCTGAACATTATCTCTCAACTAACTCAGAACAGCACTATATATAAGACAACCAATACCACTTCCTGTACAGCTCCTACAACCATCTCTGATAGCATACCAAGATCTAGTCCTGCTTTGCTTTCAAGCTCAGATGACACATTTTAGTTCAAAGCAGTAGTGAAATCCCCCCAGAATATGCTACTATCTGAAATTACAAAGGACTATATGCAGAAATCCAATTATAAACTCATTTGCAAGAGACATACATTAAGTATGCAAGCAGCATGTGCTAGCAGGAATATATTCCAAAATAATTTTAAAGCCATTTGTAATATATTGCAGGGAAAAAAAAAATCAAATTTAAAAAAGTAAAAATGTGTTTCATGCTATGTTCTTTGTATAATGGACTGAATTATATAATGATCCATGAAGGCAGAAAGTAGGAATTATAGGTGCTAGAGCCAGAAGGATTTCCCAAGTCCTTATGTTTACTGCAAGATATTCCATGCCATTTTAGCCAAGTATGTCATTTAAAGATGCCTTATAGAATAGTAATAGCTTTAACATAAATAAAAAAGTCAATACAAAAAAAGAATAGTCCATTTACTAATGCTAACACCAGTGACTAGGTAATGGGGAGCTGTCAGCAAATGCATATCAAGTGCCATTAATGGCAGGAATCTCACTCCTCCTAGTTTTTCTCTAGCTCTCTGACATTCTTCCCAAGTTCTTTTTTTTTGTTTGTATTTTTGTTGTTTTGTTTTAAACAGTCTTGTTTTTGTAATTGTGATCTACTGATGAAAACAGAACTAGAAACCAGCTCTTCCTTTCTTCATCTGAGCAAGCTTTGCTGCTGTTTCAGCAAAAGAATGGCAAGTCCCACAATCAAGTCTCTCCCTACTCCAGGAGGAAAATACCTACCTACCTCATCAAGAATCACAAGCTATGTAAAACCCCAATTCCACACAGGAAAAAGTGATGCAAGATAAGCTCAGGAAGGTTACGATTGCATGAATTCATACTGTTAACACTGCCTCATAAACCTTACTTTTATTTAGTCACTTGTTTTCCTTACATTTCATATATCTCTTCCCCATACAGAGACACTTCAGTGTAATGTCATAGTCAAGAATAGCCTAACCAGACCCAGTCCCACTAACTCTGAAATTGGAGGAATTTGTCTTTCCATACAAGGTCAATGTTTATATACTCATGTAAGAGGATTCCTCCACATACTCCCGACAAATGAGATCAGGCTTGGGAATACTATGCAGAATTTGTGCTATTTCTGTATTTTTAAAAAGTCACCAACAAAATGGAAGGAATGCCAACAAGCGAATAATAAAAATAAGTTTACATAGAGAAACTTTTTTTTTTAAAAAATACATAACTTGCATAATTTTAAGCTCTAGACAAGCTCTGTGGGTAGAGGTAATCTTTTATTAGACCATCTAAAAATACAGTTGAAGAAGTCAGAGAAGATTTTAGACATGCCTGCCTCTTCAGAAGGCTTGCTTAAATTTCCAAATGTACTGGCTGGTTTAACAAAAGATTATTTCTATTTACAGTTCTTTTCTTGCCTGTGTCTTTAGGCCAACACAGCTAGACAAAAATACTATTAGATAATTTTATATTTCATTTTTATCTAGGCTATTCAGAGAGAGGTATCTATCGTTCTCTGCTCCAACATGGTATTTTGTTTGTTACTGCAGATTCTTGTTCAGAGAGCTCACTTCTATACCCACACTTTTTCTTCAGTTCTACTGCCATGACCCAACATTCCTCTTCTGAGTTACCCGCAGTGAATGAAGAAAAGCATTCTTCTATCTCACTCCACTTGTATCCATATCCTTGCATTTTATAAATGCTCACAGAGAATTTACTTCTTCCATTAGAAAAACTAGGTTGAGACAACATTGTCTTTATTGCTGCACTAGTTCAACTGCTGGTCCTACATACACTTACCAAAAAAAGTAAAATGAACATAAAATAATGAAGTTCAGTGCGTCTTATGCAATCATTTTAAATTATCTTCTGGAATTAAAAATTATATTCTGGAAATACCAAAATGTCTCCATTCTGAAGAAAAAACCTTCCAAGAAAACCCCTTCTAAAGTGAAGAATTAAAATCAGAAGGAATCCCTATTAATATGTCAGCACCACTCTGTGGGGTGACCTTACCCCAGGCATACTGAAATGACTGCTTAAAAAGGACAACAATAATCACACTCAGGTACTCCATAAAAATCTGTTTCATTAAATGTCTTCAAATAACAAGTTTACATGATAATAAGAAAAATAAATGAGCTCCCAAAAACCCTATATATGTGACTGCCTAGAAGGGAGCAGGGAGTCTCTAACGCAGAATCCATTACGCTGTTCATGTGTTTCAGGTCCCATCCCTCATTAACAGCCACAATTATATCCCTTGCAATTTGCTCGCTCTTTGTTTAATATAGCACATGTTGCAAAATACTGTACTTTGCAATCAACAGCTTCCCCAAGGAATTAATAGCTGCATTTAGGAGAGATGGCAACCACTGAGCAATTTTGTTTACAGTTACTTCTGTCCAGGAACACAATGCAATTCTCAAACACAACAAAAATCCTCATCCCTGGTCAGACTCAAGGAAGTTTCTCAGCCACTCAAAAATCACAGAATGAGGTTTTGTACAAAAGGAGTGTCCATCAGGACTAATTTTAGCTACTGTCATGAGATACAGTGTCAAAATCATCAGTTAGCACAGCATAATTTCATTTTGTCAGCATTCTCAACAAAAAAAGCCTTAAAGTAGGCTACTATAGTAGTAAACCCTGCCCTTCATCCCTCAGGAGTACCATCCAACAAGGTTAATGGAGGGGAGGAAGAAAGAGACATCAGTCAAATCAAATTAAAATTCAGTTAAACACCAACATTACAGAGATACTTAACATGACATCACAAGACATAAGTGTATTTGTGAGCAGGAACACAACCCCAAGCCAACATACAGAGCCATCCCACCTGCTTTTATTTACCAGGGAATTTCTGTCATTTTCTACACAGCATCCTTTCTACACATAAAGAAGACTTTGCACTTCAAAAACTTAAGAGTGCCTTAAAAAAAAAAAAAAACACAGAAAACAACACACAAACACCAAAATCCAACCCCCACAAACCCCCCAAAAATCTTACAAAGGCTCCAATAAGCACTGGGGCCACTGGAATGCTAGCAAATATTAACATCCAAGTATTTGGTCATTCAGGAGAAGCAGAAAGATGGGGAAGAGAAAAATGAGACAAATTCAGCATCTTCAGGCAGACTATCAGCAATATCATGAGACCAGAAATCATGGATCCTGAAACATAATTCTTTTGCTCTACTTTCTTTCATGTGTATGAAAACAACATGTAAAATTAAAACACACACTTTAACTACCTGGGGAAGCTTCCAGTGGTATCATTTGCTCCTCAGCCCAGGCTAGCTTGGGCTTGGGCCTCTTACTGTAGATTCCTTCCTTATGCTTGATAGCCGTACTGTCTGGAGGATTATCATCCCTTAAACCAAGCACGTTTGCTGGAAACCTCGGAGGAAGGGCATCATTTGACCCTGCAGAGAAAGAGAGCAATGAGTAAAAAGAGGAAGCAGGAAAAATAGATACAGAAATTTCACAACAAAGACAATGTCTGAAAGAAAGCGTATTATCCAAGCATTAGTACCAGTGTATGCACCAACAGCTGTGATCCCTAGTGAGCAGTTCTAGTGACTAATACAGCAGCAGTAGGTATTGTGCCACATTGTCTTCCATAATCTTTCTTGACAAGGTTCTTCCCTGAGAGGTAGATAAATTTTACCTATCTACTAATAAGCAGAGAAGAATATAAGAAAATGAGCATTAGACAAGTCTACCACGAAGCCAGACACAGGACTTGGAATGTCCAGACTCCCTCCTGCTCACATTAAAATTCCAGACATTTTCACTGACTGATGTAAATAGCTATTTTCTGAACAGCAATGGAGAAAAACTGGAAGACTAGAGTAGGTCTGTATAACCTCTAAACAAGAATTCAAGACAACAGGAGCAGAGCACTCTTACTATCATATCGCTGTCTCCTAATGTTAGGAATCTAAATGGCCCCTAACTGATTTATCATCCTTGTCAACACCACCTGGTTATATTCAGTGGACTTACTCAACTCAATTTCCTTCAGCTACTACTTCTGAACTAAGAAGCAGCAGGGAGTTTAAAAAACAAAATTTATTTTTTAATTCTGCTGTACATTTTCTACAACCTTGCACTGCCTCATATGCATATTGAATTTTTATATCTAGCATCATAGTTTCTGCAAAACAACAGACTCTCACCACATTTTTTTTTCTCATTTTGACCATATTACAACAGACTGGAAAACGGTAATGAGCAGAGATGCATAAACAATTACAAGCACAATTTGTGGCTATAATAACTAACCTGTGCACTTACTGTGACTGTTGTATCAACCTACTCCCCTAGGTCACATCTGTCAGGAGCTGGACATCTCTGTAATGTTAGTTCTGTCTACAAATAACTTTGGATATCAAAAAGCTCTGACTGAAAAAAACCTGCGGATAAGACCTATAATGCTTAAGTGATGCGTTCTTTATGTATAGGAGAGAACTGAAAAATAACAGCAGGCAAAGCAAAAGAAATTGATGAATCACAGAGCATCCTTTCCCCTGGTAAGTGAGAAGTGGTTTTAACTGGGAGATGGGAGGATGTGCAGAAAAGGTAAATATATACATATTTTAAGCCACAGTTATGAATTACATTGTTTATAGAAAGGCTTTCTACACTGGAATCCCCTAACATGGAGGGGAAAAAATACAGTACTAAGAGCTATTATCTAAAATGCGTGATGTATTATGCAGATATTTCAGAATGCACACATACCAAATTAACAACAAAAGGGGGAGAATGTACATAAATAAGGGAACTAAAAAGAAGGAGAACTGGTAGAGATATGAAAGAATGCAAACAGAATAGTAATTCCCAGAGGAAAGTAAAGAATTATCAAGCTGTAAAACATTGAGCCTTGTTTCTTTTCACTGCCAGAATGGAGTACTAACATCCCTTTCATCAAAGAAATTGAAACCACAGCCTTCAGTCAGGGCTCATTCATCTTGGTGTGAACATGAACAGACACTTTTCTATTACAATCAATGCACTTACTCTAAACTGCTAGGACAGAAGAGTTCTGAGCTCAACTGAGACAATTCTGCATATGAAATAGATATATTTTGATCCATGAACCCCAACCATCATTTTGCATTTGGAAGACCCAAGATAAACAAGTACCTGAGTGAGAGCTCTCAACACTGGTTTCTGACCCAACTGGAGAAATTTTAGATCCTGCCTTTAGATAAGGAACATAATACATCCCAGTACTTCCAGAAGGTTTATATGGCAGCAATAAGGGCTGATCTGTGGGGGGTAGAAGGCAAAGCAATTAACAGAAGTCAGGCTTTAATTCTTTAATGCAACTGAAGATAAAAGTAACAAATCAGGACCCAAGAAGACTGCTGAAGATGTTCACTGTAGTAAATTTGGAGACATACCCTATTCTTTAGGAAAATAAATTGCAATTATTAATTATTTAATTAATTTAATTCTTTAATACCCACCCAGTGGTTAGAAGGTTGACTGTCGCTTAGCTAGAAAAAATAGCTTACTTACCTATTCAATACTAAATTTGTGACTAGGGTGACAAACACTAACTTAAGAAAAAAAAAAAAAAAACAAAAACACCCTCACATACCCACATAGTCCCCAGTTGATCCATGTTTAATGAAATAATTTTAAATGAGCACGGATATCTGTCCCTCAAGTCAATAAAAGCAGCGTCCTGTCATAACAGAGTTCCAGCAAATGTTTGGACCAGAACATTCACTGACTTCCAATAGCAAAGAGAAGAGGCGATCAGCTAGCCGAAATATTTTTTGCACTCTGATACAATGAACGAATCTGCTCTCTCAACTCATACTATTTTAAACACCTTGAGAATAGAGATACAAAGCCTGGAGCCCAGGAAAAATCACGAAAACTACACAAGTCTACACACATCAGTAGTGTAACACACCACTGTGGGAAACCACTGTGCAACATCCACATTCTTCTGTCAACAGATTTTTAAAAGCCCTGCACATTTTTCTATTTCATTCTATTGAAAATAGCAATGTGCATATTTTCCTCTCAGTTTTTGTACTACCTTGACTAGAGAGTAAATCAGTAATCAGATATATCTCTTGATAAACTAAGCAGTAAACTAAGTCAAATTATCTAAAAACAAATGTCAGAAAAATTTCTTGAACCAGACTTGGACACAGCAAATTCAGTTCTAGATAACCCTGAACTGAATCACAACTGTATTGATACAACTCCCTACCCACAAGACTGCAAAGCCCAAGTTTAAGGGTTGGGTTTTTTCCCATATGAGCAACTTTAAATATCAAAATTATCTCAAGAATGTTACTTCCACAGAAAAGCTGGGGTTTTGTTTTTTAATACCTATAAATATCTTGAACTTGAATAGATGAAAGTTTACATATACATACAAGACACTAATTTGCTCACCACCCTGCCTTGGGAAAGAGGAAATGTTGTTAAGAGATGAAGTTGTATTGTTGGGAAGATCATGTGCTTTCTGGAGAGACGACTGGTAGACAGCATTTTCACTGTCTTGTGAATTAACATAAATTTCTGCTGAAAAGGTTGTTTTTTCAGGACTTTCTGTTGTTATCTGAGTGGTAGCATCAGAAGTACTTTTCCCAGTTTTTGCAGGAACTACAGAGTTGAAGATATTCTTCAGACTACATCCCCCTGAAGCCAGAACAGTGACTTGTGGTCTCTCACTGCTTTGCAGAGGCAGCTCTTGCCCTGCTGCACTTGTAACAGAGGAAACCACTAGGCAGGGATCTGCTGAAGACACTGGCATTGGGAAAGATGAAGATCTTTGATTTTCTGGAATAGGGTCAGCAGCTGATAATTTAGAAACAGCTTCTATTATAGTTTCTGGAGTTTTTAAAGACACTGGTTGAGTATTAACTTCAGGTTTATCCCATGATCTCATCTCTTTTTCAGTATTCACATCACTATGCAGCTCTGAGTTATTACACTTTGAGGAAAGAGTTACGTGGACACAAGACAGTACTTTCTTAACTGGTGATGAAGGAGATACAGAAGTGGTGGATAAAATCTCATCCATAGATGAATGGCGAGACATACCGATTTGCTCTCTCGCAACCTCTTTCTGAATGAGAGGTACTTCATCAGAAGAACTTCTCTTCTCTTCTTCCAATAACTTAATATGGCCCTTCAGCAAATCAGCTTGTACGGCTGGATCTGAACCTTCTAAGCTCTCACACAACTGGATGTGTCCAGGTGGGCTGTTTTTCTCCTGCTGGTAAGCACTTATAGAATGGGGTTCGTTAAACCTATTCATTTCTTGACTGAATCTTGTATCACAATCAAGCTCCATGAGTCTGGCACTATGCCTGCCCAATTCAGTCACATGTTCAGGCAGAACATCAGAATTTTTTGTGCGAAGGGTCTGTCTTTTATCAGCATGGATGCTTACAGAATACTGATCTGACAAACAGTCTGTTTCTTGATAAGCTCCAACTCTGTTACTGTCAGCAGAGACATGATGAAACCTGTCTTTCTCAGCAGTAAAAGCAATCTCATTAGACACTGAGCCAGCAAGCATTGGACTTGAAGGAGGACAAGTCTTAGATCCTCCCCGGTGTTGTTTGCCATGGCTCTGTTCCTCAGTGCTAGCAGAGTCAACCTCCAAAGGCATTATCCCATCAAGACCATCTCTAGTAAGACTACTGCTGAGTGCCATGGAAGTCAATGGTGACTGCAAACGTTTTCGGGATGAAAAGGTGATAGAAGTAATTTGCTTAGCCATTTCTTCAGAACACTTTTCCACAGACAGCTTCTTCTGAGCTGGTAAATGGATTTCTCTTTGCATATTGGAAGCAGCTGCAGACCTCACTACACACTTGTCCCATTCCTTCTGCAATGGTGGATAAAGTTCAACAGCAGCATCAGAATGACTAGTTGCAACTGTTTGATGTTGGTTGTAGGTAGGTGTTTGAACAGTACTCAAAGATTTAAACTGCATATCCTTCAGCAGGCAACAATCGGAAGGATCAGCTTTATATAATGGCACAGCTTGTCGTAAGCTCGACTCTAAAAGGTCCTTAGTCCTGATGGCTTGTGTTTGTTTGTCAGTTTGAAATCTTTTGTCACTTGGAGCTTTTAAACGCTCTATGTCCTGTTCCTGATTATGGCTATACTCAGAAGCAGCTTCCAAAACACATACCCGTGGATCCTGAAAAATACAGGAGAATTCACGTAAGTTATGTGGACAACTTCCTGCCCTCGCCAAAATCTGGATTGGCAAATTCAAAGAATAACTAGTGCTGTCAATAATCAAGAGTCTGTCATTGTGAATAAGCACACACTTTCTCTTGAACACTTCTGTTAATGGAACCAATTAAAAGTTGGTCATATTCTAAGCACCAGCAAATTAGCTAACATTGTTTTGATGCTATAACAAACAGCAGCAGTGACATCTCAAATAGAGCCCTTTAGTTTTGTGAACTATGAAGTTGTATTCTGTTACTTAGACTAAGTTGTAAATACCTCTCAACATCACTCACAGGAAAACAAGAATAAAACTTTCTTCCTTTCTATCAGTTGGCTTCATACACAGTTGGACATTTATCATAAACCCTGTTCATAATGTACTGGGGAAAATTACTAACTTTGAATGAATATTTATTCACTATCTAAGTTCAAAGGGATTTAGGGAGAGACAAACATACCCTGCTAAATCTTTGTGATTTCAGTGACAATTTTATTAATTAAAAAGATAGCCAATTAGCCACACAAAAATCACAGAAACACTGAGGTTGGAAGAGACCTCCGGAAGTCTCTAGTCTGACCTCTTGCTCAAAGTAGGGCTGTCAACTTCAACATTGCAACTGATGAAAGGCATTCCTTCATAGCTCCATGGAAAAACAAAACAATGCAGAAACCCACATTTACTTCCAGTTATAAGTACTCAAACCTTAACCAAGTATGTAACATTATGTTCTGGCGACCTCCAAGAAATCAGGTAGCAGACACACACTAAAACTCTTTGGGTTTGGAACAGAGTCCAAACAAACTCCACACTATCAAAGCGTTACATTACATGACATTTTAGGGCTACGGGGATACCTCTGCATCTAACATTTTGCTATGCCATAACTATCACTATATGAAACAGAACTCAACATAAAAGGTTTTCCCTGCACTTGAGTTGTTTGACTCTAGTGTTTATGAAGCAGAACTAAAATGAAAGGAACTCAGTTACATGGGAATACGGGGGGAAGAAAAGAAAGCTGTTCTTTACAAAGCATGAGAAAATACTTAATTAGAAAAGCTTCAATTTTCCATAATTGATATTTCTCTTTTCCCCTAAAACAAGTATGCCAATTTCCCTCTCAGACAAGAGCTGTAATAAATCTTTTTATTTTTATTATCACTGCCCACTGCTGACAATAATTAAAAAATGACTGAAAATAATCAGAGCTTGGATTTGCTCTTTAAGGTAAAAGATAACTTGTAAAAACTTTCCAATTCTCAGGTGAAGATCATTTTTGTTCTCCCATCAAAACAGGTATGTTTGCCACAAATACTATTTTTTTTGTTTGGAAAGCTGGTGACAATGCTGCAAAGAAGAGAAGGTATTCCTACCAACAGATAAGACACTAATCCTCCCCAAAACAAGGAAGTTCACTGTCAGTTGTCTTTGCTCATAAAATCTTTTTTAAAATAAGTTACACTTACACCTTTGTCTGACCACGCAAATTGTCCCACATCTTTATCACCCACCAGTATCAGAGCCACTATATTTAGGACGCCGCTATTTGACTACACGTATTCAGACATCCCTGGCATGTATTTTACACAACAGTCTAAAATGCTGTGTCTTAAATTACCTGCCTGGGGGCATTTAGGAAGCTGAAACTAATAATTTACTTCAGTATTAACTTCTGTCCTGGTTTCTTTGCCTGATTTTACTAACCATTCCCATTTTCAGCATGCTCTCCAGCCCTCATTGCTTCATCTTCTGTACCTCAAGCCCCATTCCACCATCAAAAAAAAGTTTTAACAGCAACAATCGACAACAATTTATTATACCAGGTAAATAAAATTAAAGCAACATATGCTATAGCCCCTCAGCAGAATCAGACAAAAAAAATCCATACCCTACTCTCTGAGCATACTCATCAGATGGTGTTGCCTTTCAGCTGCCTATTAATAAGGCAAGATTACTGACACTGCAGTTAACTGGAAAATTCCCAGGGCTACAGCACCTGCTTGCTAAGGAACCTACACCTTCTTCTGGCATTTCAAAATGTAACCCGATTTCTCAACACACATTTTGCACACAAAGCACTAAGTATACCACACAGAGATAAAAGGTACAGGGTTCAGCAAATGGCTCTCATTACTTGCCAAGGAAAGTAGAAATAAGTGTGTCTAAATACTCGATGAAGTTTGGATATTCCAAACTCTTCCTTCAACTCATTACAAACAGCAGATACTAACAAGGCACGTTCATTGTCTGCAGAGATTTACCATGATCAACAAGACACACAAAATGTGATCCTCTCTCTCTGACTGGCTCACCATCCTCATTTCCCTACTTTCTGCAACTCCTTGTGCATGTGGAGGGATCAGGAGGTAGGGATGGATAGGACCTTTGCTTCCAAGCCTTTTCTCATTGCAGCAGAAGCTCCCGAATGCTGACAGGTGATCTTTACAGCAACTTACCTGACTGGTGTAAGGAGAAGGTAGTTTGAAAGAAAAGAAATGCAAATACTTCTAGATTAAAGATCACGCTACAAACAAGGGAATAAAACATCACACTCCCAGATACATGCAGAAAACCTGTTATTCTAAGAGTACAAAGAGAAAGCCTGGCAAGTACAACTGGGAAAACCTTAAGTTACCACTCACGGTATTTATTACTGTCAGCATTGATCAAAAAACTGCAACAGATTTTGCCCTGAAGCAAATTAAGGCAACTACTCACCCGATCTGTTAACACTGCAGCTCCAATGAGGGGCAATCAACAAAACAACTGAAACACTAACCTTTGGAAGTAGCTGTATCAAATCTAGAGAAATGAACATTTATCTACACACCAAGATTCCCCTCACGTAGATACGCAGTAACTAAAACAAGTATCATAGTTAGTCCCATTCCCGACAAAATACCACACCACATTTCACACAACATGCTAGAAAGCAGCTCCCTCTTACATTATTTCACCCCGACTCTTTTTGACAGAGCAGTTCAGCGTCAGAGGCAGTATCATGGTTAGTGAACGCTGAAAATGGACAAAAGACAAATAATTTCATCAGCATCCAAACCTTACAACTAAATCATGAGAGCTCATGTTAATGTATGTTAAACTATAGGCCACCAGGCATCTTTAGAGAGAATTTCTTAAGTGTGGACATTATTTCAGTAATTTATCAGTATGTGCACACCCTTAATTTAAGTGTCATTAAAAATTACAATACTTCCATTGAGATGCAGAGTGCAAATCTGAGATGAATGTACTGTCTTGGAGATGGGCCAGATAAGATTATTTTTAAAAATAAATTAAAAAAAAAATTTTAAAAAAATCTATGCTACATTTATTTTTTCCTACTGATTGGAACAACTGTGAAAACAGCAGAGTATATTTCATTAACAAAGTGCAACACAGGTCCCTGGATGATTACAGCCTCAGCAACTAGTTGGAATTCGGAAATAAGAATCAGTCAAAAACATTTCTGGTGTAAATCACAAAGTATAAACAGGTATTCCACAACAGATTTTTCCATCCTTTCTACATCCCAGATGTCATTAGCAGCAAACTATTTCAGCAAGGTCTGGATTATTATTCCAAAGCAGTACTTTTCTGTGGCCTTATCTATTCTAAGCAAGTAAACTAGTTTATTTGGCTTCCTGTATTTCCTATAGCCAAGAGGGACAACAAGGGACTGTAGAAGAATGCAAGGACGCAGAGCAGTCCTGTGCAAGGATAGGGGTGCTCCCGAGACAATCTCTTCCCTAAACCATGTACCAGTTCAACGGCCTGAAGCAATACACAGCAACTCCTACTACTGAAAGCAAGCACAGAAGTTGCTATAAACTCATCTTCCCAAGCCTTTCACATGTTTTATTGTGCTTGTTATGTGTCATCTTTCCAAAAAAGATCTGCATGGCATATGATCCACAAGAGATGGCAGTGCAAATTTATAGCTACAACTCAGTGAACTTCCTGAAAAAGTGAGAAAGTACAAGGAGTGGAAAAATACAGCATATAGTGGAAGAATACAGTATACAAAGGGGGAATGCTCTTAGGTAAGTCTAGAGATAGCTGTTTGGCACCCATAAAAATACAGGTGGGGTAACAAGGTCCTCAATTTAGAAGGAAAACTCATAGGTTTAATATGCCGAAACTGTATTTACATCTAACAGCAACTCAAAACCCCTCAATCTCAACTGGAGGAGCAAAACAAATATACATGTACAAACAGCACAAGAAGGTAGTTAAATCTGAAAGACAATGCTCCTGGAACAGATGACCACCTACAAGTGTTTGGCTTTTCCCCGTTATTCTTCAAATTCTTCTTACATGGAAAGACCCTAATGATTTCAGTGGAAGAACAGTAACAGGGCTGATTTCTGGAGCCTAGGATTGACTTTTCATATGTTTTTCCTAAAAATCCCAACAAACATCATGTTGTTCATGACTCTTTGACTGAAGAGTATCACCCATTCCAGGGTTAAACTCCTCAAGCCTACCTAAAGAGTAAGTACTCCATTGCCAACTTACCTGCTCAGGCAAAAACCAGATCTCTACAGCCACACCAGCATGGCCACAGATGTAGGAATTATTCATCAAACAGTAACCTATCTATAGGAATGTCTTGGCAACTCCCTGCCTCCCTTCATCACAAACAAGTTTATAGGAGAGTGCCATCAGTTTATCCTAAATTTCACAAGACCCATCTCTGGACAATCTCAAATGTCACTTTTTTTAGGCCCCTTTACCAAGCATTTGCAGTTAATAAGTCTGCAGCCTTTGTCTCCTTTTCCTCCTGAACAATCCCAAGGCACTGTACTTCCTCTTTCCATAAATAGCAAATTAAGACCTTTAGGAAGAGTCAGTATCAAATGAAGTCAGTATGAAATTTAGGGAAAAACCCTCCATGTCAGAAGTTCCATGTTTGCCATCTATTCCTAAGCATTTCTGTCAAGCTTTAGTGTTTATTAGAAAAGCATAACAGCATGAATATTTCTCTCCTTGTGTAATGGAAGAGCTATAAAATCAACAGGAAGACTCCACAAATGAAGTGTACAGAAAACAGATTCACTACACAAGGTTTGTCAATTTTACAGAAGAAAAAGCAAAGAAAATACAATTCTGAGTTACATTCATGAGCATTGCTTGCTATTAGAGATATACCTTCAAAATTAACTTTTCATATTGAATGTTCCCTTTTTTGGGCCACTATTCAGCTGAGCACTTGAGTACATGTTTGGAGCCCATTTATGTGCATATGTCCCAATCACCACCTCAAACACTCTACTCAGCTAGAACTTGAGAAATCATTATGATGCTTCTTTTTTAGAGCGTCTGTTAACACATCACCAGTGACAAACAGCTATCAAACAGATACTTGACTATCTCAAAAGATGGAACGAACTTTAGAATTAAAAGATCACCGAGAAGAACTCTCCCAAGCTGTCTTGCTCCTTCTTTGCATTTTTTTTTTTTTTTTAATATATATAGACAAGCTGCACATGCTTCCTGTGGGAAACAATAATATATCACAGTGGTACATTTTATTTCTTGAGTTGTCACCTACAAAAACGAGAGGCAGAGTCTAAACTTTCCAAAAAGAACACTCATCATAAGCCTGCATCAGAAGCACTAAATAAAGATGACGGTCTGACGAAAGAATTATTTGCTTGAGTGCTAGGAACAGTTTGTCTTTCTCAGCCTTTCAAGTTTAGTAGAAGGAAAATATCTTTCCATAATCTTTGATCTGTTCTTTTTAAGTCAGCGCATTGCCAGCTTTCCTCTATAAATTCAACAGGTATTTTACAGAACAGTTTCCATTAAATTTATAGTAGATTATTTTGTCAGCAACAAAACTGACTACATTTTTTTCAGGTAAATAGTTTTCAACAATCTGTATTTTTCAGTGACATATTGTTTTACTTGGAGAGAAAAATACATTTATCTTAAGTGTAACAAAAAAAACCAGCCACCTTCATTCTGCAAATTCAAAACCATTTTTTATCGCAAATTAAAGCCACTGTAAAGCAAAAATATTTTCAAGATGAAAGCAGAAAGTATGGTTGACCTAAAGCAATTCTTGGAATCTTGGTTTGCAAAACTATGATCAATTTTTTCTTACTCTAAAATTGGGATAAAACAATTCAAAGCTGACGCTCAATCACATAAAGGTAAAATAGTTGGTTCCAGTCTGTAACAAGTTAATGTTAGGGACAAAGCTGTGATCTAACTAAATCTAAAAGCTGAGGAAAAAAGCTTCAGGGCCTCTAGTTTTTGATGAGTAGATTGAAGCAAATATGTATTTGTGTTTTGTTTTTCTTCTTTAAGAACTGTCTGAATATCTAAAAATAAATAAAACTGTTAAAATACTTTTTTTTTCAGGCTCCCCAGTCAAGATTAATTAATTACATCAATACATGAATAACTGAGAAGTTTTGTCTGATGGTTTTTGGAAGGTGATGTCTATATTACCAACACTGTTTAGTCCCAAGAAATTATAAACACAAAACAGACTACTCTTAAAACACTATTTTTCATTCTTGCTGATGCAAGGCTTTTAATGAAAACAAACAAACAAAACCCTATTGCTTTTCCTGGGAGGCAGGCAGTCTACCAACGGGGGGGGGGAGATATTGCTAAAGCTAAGGGCATTTGCTGAAACACCAGATTAAGAACAGATGAGCATATTTTCAAATGCAAGTTTACTACATTCTCCTCAGAAACTGCCCCAACCTTTAGCTCTGCCTAATTATCCAGTCTCTCTTCCACCAGCTCAGGGTTCTCTATCCTGCACGCATGGATACATCATCCATCCACTACTCATGTTATACAAGCATCTCCGCATTTTTCCAGTCTGTTCTTTTAATCAAAATACTCTTTAAGAGTAGTACCCTACCTTGGGACACACAGACAGCCCCTAGAAATCATGACATAATTAGACTGGACACCAGATGAATGCTGAAAATGGATATTTAAAGTCAAACCAAAGGTAATATACTCCTGCTTAGACAGATTCCAATCCAGATATACTATACATTAATATCTGAACTAGAAATGTTCCAAAGGAGATATGCAAAACATGACAACAATTCAATGTCGAGTTTTCACAGAAAAATAGAGCTGTAAGAGACTGAAAGCTCATCTAGCCTATATCCCTGCCCCAAATCAGCATTAACTACACTTAGATTATTCTTTGCTGATACATAGCCAAGCTCTTCTTAAAACATACTATGATTAACACTCAATAATCCTCCTCTCATCATCCTTACTGTTAAGGAGTTTCTTTTCCAATAGAACTCTTCATTGCACTTGAAGTCCATTACCTTAGATACAGTCAACACAAAGGAGGAACAATTTACACTCTTCTTCCCTGAAGCATCCTTTTAAAAATAAATATCACACTCCTTTGTAAACATTTCAGAACACATGGGAAGTAACACAACAAATACTGCTATTATCTAGATGATGCTGCATTGTACAGTAAACTCCTTCGACAGAAGGACAAGTTTACAAGGCACAATCAGCACACATGTAAATATTTTGTGAAAAGCAGAACTCAGTAAGCCAATTAAGAATCATGAGCTGTGTGCACTTTCTCACCACAATAACACCAGTTCTCCCATCACATCATCACTGACCACATCTCTGTCCTTCATACCTTCCTTCAGAACATCTTCAGTTGTGCGTCACCACCCACACACCCCCAAACCACCCCCCCTCCCCCAAGATATTTAACTACTGTCTGGGGAAAAACCAAAAACCAAAAACCCACCACAGCATGTGCCATGGCTGGTCCTAAAACATACATAGGAACTGACTAAGCTGAAACAAGCATCTCCACTAAACAGACCTCTCATTAGTTTGCATCCACCTCTCCCTGTCTAGCCAAAAATATTGCAGGAATTTAATTCATCATTTTAAGATCACAAGCAAGACAGTAGCATTTATCCCCCACTTCAAGTATTTTCTCCAGAGCAGCTGGTTTGTCTGTTCTGTACCTTGACTAGCGCAGATTTCTTGGCACTCAGAAGCAGCTCTGCCTTTATTTCCTCGATTCTTCGTTGGTTCTTTTCATTCGAGTCTGACACAGAATCCTGAGATTGGCTGGCCAGTTTTAGCTTCACCCATGCTACACAAAGAACATAAAACAGAAAGCTGTTTCCTTTCCATTTTCTCATATCATGTACGATAACAGTTTTATAACTTAAAATCAAAACTTTGCTATGCACTTCTAGCTACCACAACTGAGGGAACAAAGACCACTATCAAATACCAGAGCTCATGGATTGACCTGAAATAGAATTTAAAATGGTTCTTTTGAACATTTCTTTGGAAAGATGGATCCAGGACCCATTGCCCGGTTCTGTCATCTTTACAGTCCCAGACTCAGGTAGACACTCTTTCACACAATCCCTTCCCAAATTCTTAACCTAGCACATGCCTAATAGCTATGTGGACAAAACACTTTCTCAAGTCATTGTTACGCAAAAGAAGGTATTCAAACTGGAAAAGTCCAATTCTATCCCATTCTATCATACTACATAAGATGACTAAAAACATTGATCATTTAAGCCCTGTCCCATTAAGGCTTATCGTTAATAAAATAACATAAACACCTTTAAAATCAGGGGACAGACTCAGCTGACCTCAGAGGTCCCCTTACATCCATATGCCTTCATGTCAAAGTCATTTCAAAGCAATCCCTTAAACATATACCTTAAATAAATATTTGCCATTCTAACATAACACTTGATAAAACACAACTGAGACATTTTTATTACCTCGTGCTTTCTTCTCCTCTTCATCTGAACTCTTCAGAATTTGTGTTGTATGTATCACAGGTGATCCATTTCTTAGAAGGTTTTTGACACGGGCAGCTAGTGAGTCTCCACTGCTACTGTCATCGCTCTCTCGCATGCCACCTGCTTTGTTTCCAGCTACACTAGCTTTAGACAACATGCTCTGGAAGCCTCCTGCAACATCGGTGACACTGCGCAGAGGCTCTGAGGAAGAAGGATTCCCCAAATCTGAAGCTCTTCCAGAGCTGACTTCGCTACTTCCGCTGCTTTGAGTAAGAGCCACAAAACCAGGTTGATTTCTGTCTGTAGTTACACTACTACAGCCTTCTGGCTCAGACCTTCCTACAGATTTTCCTGTCCTCAACTCTTTGGTCATTTCCTTCATCATCTCTTCAATATTGCACAAATTGACTTCAAAAGAATTTTCCCATCTTAAATTGCCTGTGTTAGAATTCAGAGGCTTTATTACTGACCCTTCTTCCTGCATACTTCTTTGGGTCATAGTCTCATCCCATGACAGTATCCTCTGACACTGAGGGACGCTGTCTTTCACTAACCTGCAATCTTCAGGGCCATCCTCCTTTCTAATCAGAACTGGGGAAGACTTGCCAGTTTCCCTAGAAGGGGCAGTGGAAGAGATAGGATCACACCACCTGTCAGCTATACCCTCTACCTCTGCCAAAAGCTTATGTATTTCTTGCAATGCATCAGATCCAATCGAAGAATCGCTTTCTTGACCCTTACTTCTCTTACTACCTACACTTGAAGTTTGTGATCCTCTATCACCTTCCATTTCATTTTTAACTCCAGCCAAAGAACTGTCAGTCCATCTCTGCAGGCTGCTATTCACATCTTTTGACTCATTTTTAGCTAGCAGGTCCCGAACACTTTTTGCAACAGGCATGGGACTCTCTCTCTCAGAAGGGCAGTCAGGTGAAACAGTCTGCAGCTGCCAGTTTGGTTCAGTTAGTTTGGAGACAGCTGAACACTCTGCCTCCTGTCGTGTAGAAACCAGAGCAGTTATCTCCAGTTGGTGGCATGACATACTGCACTGACTCACTGGTTTGTCTCCAAAAGATCTTGAGAAGCGAGGAGAGAGTTCACAGGGTGACAGAATATCAGAGCCAACTTCTGAATTCATTGGTATAGCCATACTGAGAGTGGAAGTGCTGGAGTTAAAACTTGTTTGCATAATTTCAACTGCTGACAACAATTCACCTACAAAGAAACCGAAGATTCATTAAGTTTGGGGCTCCAGAAAACAGCTGCATCATTGAAGACTACTTTTTCTTGTACTAGAGAGCCTGTAAAGGGAGGGAAGAATTCAAATATTGGAAAACATTTAGGAAACTGTTTTTAGAATAAGACTTGAACTAAGACTTCCATGAGAATTGTCTACTGAAAGAAATCTCTTAGACCATTTTGGATAAACATCAAACAAACCACAGAACTTGACTTAAATAACTTGCTTTTAAATAAATGCTTAGACTAGATTTTAAATAAATGTTCTTAGATAAATGACATAGTTGTGCTTAAATGTCCAAATGAACACTTGGATTATAAAAGTATTCCTGCAAGAAACAGGAGAGCTGCAGGGCAGTATATCCAAAATAGCCTTTTGGAAAAAGGCGAAGGACACTCTATGGATAAGCTTGTTACCCACTACTGGTTAGAAAGGTCCAAAAGCAGACAAGATGCACTTTTAGTATTTCGATATATAACACCTAATTGCTTTTTTTTTTTTTTTTTTTAAAAGCCAAACTTAAGTGAAAATGCTGCTCTTAAATCCATGTTGGCAGGTACACACAACAGTGAAGAGCCAGCTCCCAAATATGCCTGCCAACAGCTATTTTGTTTGTTTCAAACACAATTTTATTTCATGGCCCAACCCTGTTATTTTCAAGTACAGTAAGTGGTCCAGAGGCCAGCTGAATAATATCTCTGTTGAGGACAACTCTACCACCCTGTACCGATTGCCAAGTCATTTCAGTTGCCAAGTCTCCCACAATGCTTAAAGAAGGAAAAAATAATAAAAGAAAATAAGCAAGCCCAACAGGCATAAGAGATGCATTTAATCACTCCTGGTCAGAAAAACAGGTCAGTGCAGGATTCTTGAAGTCACAGATATTCAAAGGGTTAGACAAGTACTTGTTGTGAAGAGCCTTCAGATCTGCTCTTCCCCACTGGGTACAAGATGTAAATGCCAAAACAGAATATGCTAAGGAAAATACACATTTGAAGTGGTTGTAATGCACATTTTCACATTTTAATGACATACTACATGGGCATGCCACTGAAGAACATCTTAACCCTAATTGAGCACACTCTGTTCTTCATATAGAAATGACTCAGTATTTGTTAAAAGTCATATCGGGTTTTTTTGTTTGGCTTTTTTTTTTTTGATGGATTTATGAACAGATCTGGTCAGTTATAAAATGCATATAAATTTTTGTCACACTGAACAGATCAAGAAGCCTCAGAAAGAAAGAAAAAACAAGACTTATCTCTCTCACAGGAAGAAAAAGCCTGGTAACATTTCTTTAATCTTCAGATACAAAACATTTCCTTCTTAAGAACTCTTGTAAAAAGATAAATAAAACCATGTATTGAGTTTGTGTGGCAAGGTTTTGGTAGTGGGTGGGGTTACAGGGGTGGCTTCTGCACGAAGCTGCTAGAAGCTTCCCTCATGTCCAAGAGAGGCAATACCAGCCAGCTCCAAGATGGACCCACTACAGGCCAAGGCTGAGCCCATCAGCGATAGTGGTAGTGCCTCTGTGGTAACATATTTAAGAAGGAAAAAAGGTTGCAGCGGACACACAGCAACAGCAGCTGGAGAGAGGAGTGAGAACATGTGAAAGAAACAGCCCTGCAGACCCCTAGGTCAGTGCAGAAGGAGGGGAGGAGATGCCCCAGGCGCCAGAGCAGAGATTCCCCTGCAGCCTGTGGGGAAGACCATGGTGAAGCAGGCTGTCCCCCTGCAGCCCGGGGAGGACCCCACACCGGAGCAGGTGGGTGCCTGAAGGAGGCTGTGACCCCGTGGGAAGCCCACGCTGGAGCAGGCTCCCGGCAGGACCTGTGGCCCCATGGCGAGAGGAGCCCACGCCGGAGCAGGTTTGCTGGCAGGACTTGTGACCCCACGGGGGACCCACGCTGAAGCAGGCTGTGCCTGAAGGACTGCAGCCCATGGGAGGGACCAACGCTGGAGCAGTTCGTGAAGAACTGCAGCCCATGGGAAGGACCCACGCTGGAGAAGTTTGTGGAGGACTGTCTCCCGTGGGAGGGAGCCCACGCTGGAGCAGGGGAAGAGTGTGATGAGTCCTGCCCCTGAAGAGGATGAAGCGGCAGAGACAACGTGTGTTGAACTGACAGTAACCCTCATTCCCTGTCCCCCTGTGCCACTGGCAGGGGGTAGGTAGAGAATGCGGTGGTGAAGCTGTGCCCGGGAAGAAGGGATGGGTGGAGGGAAGGCGTTTTGAGATTTGGTTTTATTTCTCATTACCCTACTCTGGTTGATGGGCAATAAAGTAAGTTAATTTTCCCCAAGTTGAGTCTGTTTTGCCCATGACATAATTGGTTGAGTGATCTCTCCCTGTCCTTATCTCAACCCACAAGCCCTTTGTTATATTTTCTCTCCCCTGTCCAGTTGAGGAAGGGAGTGATAGAACAGCTTTGGTGGCCAACCGGTGTCCAGCCAGGGTCAACCCACCACAAACCAAAAAAAAGATAAAATGTCATTGCACTGGCTACAAGATGCCATGTAGCCATGATTCCTTAGTGAGAAAGCATGTTTTCAAAGGTTTTAATGCTTACTTTTCCAATGCCAAATATCTCACATCTGAGATGGGAGAAGATCAACTCATATGAATGAAACAGCACAGCACAACAAGAAACACACTTGATACTACCAGGCCAAGAGCAACCTCACAGGTGAGTCTGATGTTCTGTGTTCTCTAAGGCTTGCACAGCACAAGGTCTTCTTTCCCCCTACCTTGTGGCTGCGGAGCAGCCCTCGTCAGCGTGTCAGTGGAGTCCTTCAGCATTCTAAGCTCTGAAGGGGAAAATTCAACTTCCCTGATAGGTCCTCGGGGTACAAACGGCTTCAGTATAGTTCCAGGTGACTGATCAATGCCAAGGTTGTGAAGATATATCTGGCAAAAGAAGAAGTAAGTAACACATATGGCACTCTTGCAGAATGTCAATGGATTCTGAAGCTGCACATTTTCCACATCATCTTAAACACAACTTGCTTTAAAACACATTGAGCCTCAGTCATGTTCAACTCACACTAACAGTTCAACCAAAACACTAAAGCAGTCACATATGAGAAAACATCACCAGCTTATTCTAATCTGTGGACCATGAGCGACAAGCCTTTTTTCTAGCTAGTATGACTAGGCCTACATAATGGGTACCTCACAAGCAGAACAACTGACAAATCCTGCAATCTATTCCTCATTAATTTATGTTTGGCAGCAATTCAGAAATAAGTTGTAAGAACAGTTCTGGTGGCGATAGCTTGCACTTGCACTCACCAACAGTTTTTTCCTGGTGCTTTCCTGACCTTTCCTTCATCACGCGCCAAAGATGGCAACTGGCAGTAGCCTGCTACCACCAAATCAGTGTCCAGCCCTTTCCACAGGATCCAGAAACGATGGAAAAGGTCAGCAAAGAAGAGGCCACATATCTTGTCACAAGAACAACAGCTGACTGCTTATAGTCTTTTTACTCAAATCCACGCTCTGTACACTGCATGAGCAAGAAGTCTGATACTTCAGAAGAGTTTGGTAAGCTTCAGCCTCACCTGTTTAAAATGACATTTACCAGCTGGAAGGAAAACACAAAGGTTTGGTTTAAAACTGTTTTCTCCCCAAATGATTGCTGCACAGAAAACATTATCAGACTTTGAAATTCAAGCTAGGCAGCAGGCAAGTTCCTCACTCTTAAGGACAAGTTCATTATGGGCTAGTCTTCAAGGCAAATAGTTGCGAACCCTTTTGCCAGAGCTGGTTAAAAAACATCATGAAACAGCTTTTATGATGTTGCTGTAGGGAATGTACTGGCCAAGGGGTAGAATCACTTTCTGCTGTTGATAGTTTTATGAAGAAACACAGGTAGTCTAATATATAATTCCCCATCTACTCAGTGGCCCAGCTTGCAGTGAACAAATTTCAGCAGTACTTCAAAAACTCCCTGGCTATGAAACCATTTCTGGATACAACCTACTGCACTGCTTTAAGTCTATAAAACGTAGAATACTCAAGCGTACAAAGTCTATATACAACCAAGACTTAGTTTTACTAGCGTAGCTAAAGCAGTAAACCCTTTCTCAGTAAAGAATGAATAAAATGCATACCTTTGTCCCTTTTCCATCAGTACAGAACAAATACACACAAGTACTATTTCCATTTGTATACCACATATATATATATATAAATTGCTATCCAAGTATAACTTCATTAACACTAAACAAAGCAGTTAGTTTAGAGAAGCCAAACAGAAATCATACTCAAAACCTAAAACTTTGCAATATACTAGAGAAAAAAACGTAATGAGGATGAGGCCAAGTCTCTCTGTGCAACATCCAGGAGATTGTCAGTTCAGACACACACAGCATCATTCCCTGGATTAATATATCATAGAATCATAGAATGGTTTGGGTTGGAAGGGACCTTAAAGATCATCTAGTTCCAATCCCCCGATATCAAAAGGATATTTTGAAAGCTGGAGGAGTCTCGTGAAGCTAAGAGCCTACCAAAGGCCATCTAGGATCTCCTGAGAAAGTAATTTCTTCCCTTTTAACAGAGCATCTAAGTTACATACAGACATTATATGCAGAAAAAAACAAAAAACAAAAAACAAAGTTTGCCGTGATTTAATCACCTGTAGGGCAAAGTTAATTTCAACTCATCTACACTATGTCCTAAACTAGCCAACAAAATGAAATAAATTACCTTATAGATCTTAACCAACTTTATTTCCTATGATTTTATTATAAACCTACATATTAATAGCCATATATGTGACCTAATCTCCTTTACCTTGTCCGTGATTTATGAGAGCAGAATTCCTCAAAACTAGGGCTGGAGAACGTGCTTAATTGTAGTCATAAAAAAAAAAGGAGGTAAGCAGACAACCTTCACATCTCATGAATTTCATTTAAAATATCCTTCCTACAATATTTATATTTGTTTCAACATGTATTTGCAAAGACAACTGAGAGAAGAGTGCTTCTAAAACACAGTTCCAAAGACCTAATGATTATAGGAGTCATCTTGTGCAAGGAACAGCCACTTACTCAGAAGATAATTACATGTTTATCATTAACATAAATCTGCATTTAATTTTCTCTGACACTCAACAGCTATTAGTATAGTTAATATGGCTGCCACAATCTGCCCTCCATTCTCACCAACCATCCTAAAACAGGGAAGGGAGGAAAGAAATCTGCATTAGCCAAATAAGATATAAAGGAGGAGAGGTATGCAGAGGCTTCGAACATCCTTTATGAGCAATATACAAGAATCAAGAACTTATGCCTTAGATACTGGAACAAAGTGAACAAGCAAAATGAGTATTTATAGGAAAAAAAAGCAATTTGATTTGCCAAGGAGTTCTGTGTTGGTTTTGCTATTATTGCAGAACCGTGGGTGTGTGAAGTTCATCTCTCTCTTCTGCAGCCTAGCATTTCCTTAGTCAGCAGTTGAGTCTCAACCTCATGTTTGGATAATTATAACCTGATCTTTTGAAACAATCTGGAAGATCAGAAATGGCTTATCAGTGCTCTGCTAAAAGAGCTATAACCAATTTATTTACAAGTCTGTCAAACAGATTTCACTTTTTAGCACTAACACTATGTCCTGTTCTTGTGTCCTTTATGTTCCACCTTTATGTTTCTCTTGCATTCCTGGAAAAAACAAACAAAAAAATCTTTCCCATATCCACCCCATGTTAATTTCTTTGCCCATGTTAAACATTACCTAAAAGTTATTTTTCCACCTCTGTATTTAAGATAAGCTGAACTAGTATCATGGATGAAATTCACCAGTAGCACAGACCAGCGTAAAACCATGACATTTAGTCTGTAGTGATATAGACCCTACAAGAATCTCCTAAAAGAACGGTGGGGAAAAAAAAAAGGGGGGGGGATAACTCTGAAACCTGAGTTTAAATTAGAATCAGTTTTAAAGGGTCCTCTAAGACTTTTTAGGCTTACATAAAACACATATTTGCTAGTAATTCTAGAAGATGAACATGACAGGTTCCCAACACGACTGGATATTGGAAACTAACTATAAGCATGCTAGTGTCTCATTCCTGTGATACCTTCTACAATTCTGTCCTACTCACTCTATGACAGCCAAGTGTACTCTCATCTCTTCATAAGCAAAAGGTACAGAAGAGTTACCAATTTTTGTTAGAAACTAACTTACTGGGATTCTTTCTTCAATATTAAGCTCTTCTTTCTCTGGAGTTTTCAAAGTAGTTGCTCCAGTGGGGATGAAGTTATCTTTTGCACTGGTGAAGAAGCACCTGGAAACCACTGAAGGGCACCCTGCAGAGCCCAAGCTCCCCTGGCTACTTCCCGCAGAACTAACAGGAAGATTCAAACTATCTGGGGAAATATCACCAGAATTGTCCATGCTGACATGGCCAGTAGGAATATTTAGGTTGTGAGGCTGATTTTCAAGAGCATCACAATTCTTCTGGTCATCAGTTGGAGAGTTTCCATCCTCTTTAAGGAGCTGAGCAACTCCTTCAGCAGAAATGAAAACATTTGGGTGTGAACTTTGTCCTTTACTATTACCTTCTGCATCTTCACCGCTAGATCCAGAAACAATCTCAGCTGTAAACTTTTGTATCATGGAGCCTCCTGAACTATTTTCAGGCACCCCTAAAACATTACTTTTTTCTTCTAGAGGCTGCACTGCCTCTGTTGAGTTTGCTGGCAGAAAAACTTCAACCAAAGACACATTCCTACTGGAAACATTTACCACATTGTCAGACTGAGATCTAGTAAGAGGGTGGACAAGCAGTAAGTTTTTATTGTGAAAACACAAACTTCCCAGGGAACCTGTCTCTCTAAAGGAAGCAGCAACATTATCTTTGGGGTCTCTACCGCTTTTTTGTATTGACAAAATATTGTTTGAAGAACTGGCAATTGCACTGTAGACTTTCCTTCTAGGAGAAACTCCGCCTGGGTCACATGAAGTCCCTGTATCAGATACCTCCTCTGGCTGGCTCACGTTCCAAGCCCCTACCTTCTCCATGAAACTAAGTGATGGGAGAGACTGAATTCTTCCAGTGTAGGGATATTTCAATTTTAAGGACTCAAAATGTTCATTGTTTTCTTTCTCAGCATATTGGAGTGAATGCTGCTTCTCAACAGATGTAGGTGTAGTGGTAGATGAGTTCCCTGAAGTTTCTTCATTTAAGCATGAAGGAGAGGCCTGAATATCTGATTTAATCACAGTGACACCAAGTTCTTCTGCCTTAACATTTTTCTTTAGAAGTAACCCTGGAGTAGACTGATAGCTTGGATGAGCAATATGTACAGAGAATGAGCCATCACCTACAAGATTCAAGGAAGGGGAAACACCTGTAACTTTGTGTCCCCTTTCTATGGAAAAATCTGAAATAGTTAATTCACTCCTGCTTACTCCAGGTTCTACTTCCACTGGGGCATCCTCATTGCATGAAGAAGGAGCTTCCACGTCAGTCACAACTAGCTGTTTAGGTGCACAATCACTGGTACTTGTCACGGTAGGGATAAACTCCTCTTTCTCAAATCTCACTGCAGGAGACAGTTGTTTCTGCTGATGATCTAGGAAAGGTCCCTGGAGTGCCTCAGTAACAGCCACGAACTTCAAGCTTTCAGAGCCATTTAAATGCACTCCATGTTCCTTCGACGCTCTTTTGCCTGTTTCAGAAGTCTTTGCAGAAAAAACATCTTGAGCATCTGAATTTTTACAACTGTCTTTCCTCAAATCATCAGATAAATTATTAGACAAATCAAGCTCAGGAACCTTCTTTTCTTTTTCCAGCTTCTCTGGCTGCCTCATGCACCCTTCTGACTCACTCTCAGCCATTTTTACCTTCTCCTTTTGCATGTCTCTTTCACTTTTTTCTGAATTCTTAGTCAGTGCTGTTTTACAAGCGGAGTTTTCTGAAGACGAGAACTCATCATGCCTCAGTAACCCTTTTTCCTTCTCTGAAAGCTCAAAACCAGTGGCTGGTACATTGCTGTCACAGGAGAAATGTTCATCTTTTACAGATATACTGCAGGTCTGCTTTGCAAGAGAAGTTTTCATTTGGCTCAGTCTATTTGCCTTGGTTAGCATCACCTTTGAAGTGGAGTTTGCTAAATTGCCACTTGTGTGGGGAATCAATGCCTCCTCATTAGTACCATTTCTACAGTCTACATTTGCCTCCTTGCTCACAAGTAGTTGTCCAGAAAAAGAGGTTTGCTGAGACAAACAACTGGCATCACAAGGTTCCACATGTCTGAATGGAAGAGGATGCTGGGACAAAACAAAGCAGTCACTGGGTGCAGAGTCTGTGTCTGTCAATAACCAAGCTTCAGGGATGTGCGAAGGCTTTGAATGCTCCTCAGACGCACCAGAAACATCAGGAACTCCTCTATAAGAGGCAAGAAAAGTAAGTGAATTTCTGATCATATTTTTTTATTTCAACATCCATATTCTCTGCTTCAATATAAGAGGCAGAAGTAGAATGTCACTCAAACAAATAACTGGGGTTTACCAACATACACATAAATACATCCCCTGAACAGGCCGAAATATGAAGAAACGTAAAGAAAGTCCAAACAATATCAAGAAGCCCTACTACCCTATAAAATAAAGGTTTGAAAATAATATTAGTTTCTACTTAGTAGTACTGTCAATATTTTTCAACCTATTTAGGACTAAGGTGTTTTTTACTAACAGGATGTTTATTAGTTAAAATATAGGAGTTGCTTACACACACATAAATTTGCATGTGATTTTGTTTGGTTTTTTAAATATAAATCACCTTCTTCAGTTTCATTATATCAATTATTTCTTTAAAGGACATAAAATAAGCCATATCTCAGATGAACACAAGCAACAAATTCCTATAAGCTTCTAATATTTTTATTGTGGATTTTGAATTAATAGTTATTTTATATGAAAGTGATCATCAAACCACAATCAATATTACTCCATGCAAGTAGATCACCAGCTCTGATGGAAGCAAGTTCTGATCCACAAAGTGAAGTCACAGTGTATCATCACAGTGCAGAAAAGACCTTGACTCTATGTAAGCACTGCTTAGCGATAACGAAAACATCCCTGTATTATCAACACTGTTCTCAGCACAAATCCAAAACATAGCCCCATAGTAGCTACTGTGAAGAAAATTAACTCTATCCCAGCAAAAACGAGCACAGACTTTTACTGAAATACCTATCTTTATATATTCATACTTCATATAAAAATATGTATTTTAAATTAACACATATTACTCCAGTATATACAAAACACAATATTATTACATGTACATGTCTGCATGTATTTACTACTGTAAATGCAAGCTGTATTTGATTTTTGTCCCCAAAATTTCATGAAGTTTGAAATATTTCAGAGTCTAGGAAAGCTAAAAAGATGTCTGAGAGGGTGGAGTTCCTCATTTTCCCATCTTCTTCAGGTACATTAAGGTGACAAGTTCAGAAGAGGCTTCTTCTGGTTTTCCCTTGTTCAAACTCTTTTGAAGGCAAAATAAAAAGATGATTACAACTCTGACAATGCCTTCTCTCTATACAAAACAAATACAGAGTAAACCACACCTTTGTCTTATTTCTGTGACCATAAAACTGTAATTATTTAATTACTAGATGTAGGACAATTCATGGCCACTTGGGAAAAAAAGGTTTGCATTCTGTCATGACACCAGGTAACTTTATCCTACCTTAAGGGAATAAAATTCATTTCTGATTGCTGGAGAAGCGTCTCATCTGAAAATCTTTGGCCTTGTGTTGAATACATTAGCAGTGGAAGACAAGGAGAGAATTGACTGTCCTGAATATCTGTTAAAAATAACAGTAACACAGTAATAAAAGTTTGCCAGGCAATCCCTCTTTAAACTACTCTGCCAACAAATACAGCCTTCAAAATTCAAAAACATGCCAACTGCAGTGAAAATGATGTAATCCCATCATTTAAATCCTCTGCTGAAGCATGTTCCCTCATGTATTAAATTCAGCTTTCTTATCACATATCAAATTCAGGTTTCTTCTTGTCAATCTCAAAATGCTACACAACACTGACATCTCTAACTTACACTCCTATCCTTAAACTTCTTTTTGCACACATCCCTATCCTTTTCCACTCGCTAGGCAGTACCTCCCCTGGTGATTTCCATGCAGTCTGTACACGTCAGAGAGTGTCCACAGGGCAAGATCTTTAAAAACCAAGAATCCCCACTGATGCCTTTCCCAGTCTCCGTTTTTCCATAAATTTTGATTCTAGAAAAGGCTGCATAGGTTTTTTTCTTTAGGATTTCAAGACACAAGCAATAAACTTAGTCATCACAATTATACCAGTACCACTATCTACTACTGTAGCAATAAATTTAAGTTTCCATCATATATTTCTTTGTTCTTTGAGGTAGTTGGCACTTCTTTTTTCAGTTTGCTGCTTACAAAAACAAACAGAAATGTTTTATACCACAAGAATAAAAACAACTAAGCTGGTATCTGATAAGTGTAAATGACTACATGCATGTTTGACGGATGCAAAAAAACCTCCTTCCAATAATTTGATAAGTAAGCTTTTTTTTATAAGCAAAAAGCTATTTGTCATCAAGAGTATGACTTCAGAACCAGAACTCACATTCATTTAATTTAGGTTCATTAGTTTTCAACCATCTCAGACAAGCTATACTCTGTATCACTTACAGAAGCATAATCACATCAGATAAGATGACCATTACCTACAAAAAAATCAAGTTTACATTACGTCAGCTTTATCCTGAGGCTTTCTACAGCCTGTATTACATCACCTGATGAGTGGTATCCAACCACAAGACAACTTTTCTGATTAATTTTTAATTTAATACTTCCAATTAACATTTTTTTTAATTACTTTAGAACACTATGTAGTGAGAGCATAATTATATTGATAGAAATAATTCTACATCATACAGCAAAGCTGGCTCAAAATTTGGATGCCCTCTAGTTCCACCTCCTCAGCAGCTACAAAAATAATAATATGATTGCTATACAGTTTCAAAGATTCCCTTCTATCTCAGCAGCTGTCTCCACCACATGGCCAGCCTAATGCCTCCTAGAGAAAGCCAAACTTATACTTTAGCATCTGTAGTACAGATGGCACAAACATGCTATAGCAACTTCAGTGGGGAGTCTTTATTTTTCTAGCACCCAGTACCTCTTTAAAGCTAAACTCTCCCCCTTACTTTATTAGATAAATACATTGCACTGGTCACCACTCCATTTCACTTTCATCTTAACTATTTGCAATACCAAACATGAATCAAAAGTAAGAAAAGCCAACTGCTTTTTTGGAAGTTTATAGGAAAGGATATGTATCTTAAAGCAATAGTTATTAATAGGTATTCCTGAGCAACTTGACACGAGGAGACATTCAGAAGAGGCTCCAATGTAGACTGGTGAGCACCTGCACAAAGCTGGATGAAAAGATAATTATAACACACATGGAAGTGTAAAAAAAGTCGAGGAGAAAATGGCAGCATCAGCATAGAGGGAGCAGGAGCCAAGGAAATAAGGAACAAGGTCAGGGATGTCTCATTTATAATGTAACAGAGCCCTGAGGCACCATTATATTATAGGGCACAACCAAGGTTGTGGTCTAATACCAGACTGATTGGTATTTACGTGATTTTAATCACAATTTGAATCATGATTTAAAATCATGGAACAGGAGACTGATCTAATTCACTGTAATCTCCTTAGCATTTATTTAAAATGTACTTTACAGAAAACAAAGAGGTTTGGTTTCAGTGGCTGATACTGACTTAGAACCAAATAGAACTTGCACATTCGATTTGTTATTCTCAATCACTAACTGGGAGCAGACAATATGTACAATGCATTTATTCTGTTTATAGTGTACATTTATTCAAACAATTTTTTGTTGTTATACTTGAAAATACTGAGAAGATTAACCATAGTTAATGCAATTCTGTATCCAAGCTAAAGATGCAAAAACACATATTTTGAGAAACATTAAGCAAGCTGGAATCTAAACTATCTTAGCTGTGTTAGATGTACTTTTTTCCTCCCAAATCTTGTTTTACATTTAAAATGATATTAGTGAACAAAGGCAATAGTAATTGCAGTTATCGAATTAGACTTATCATCTCACATCATGATACACTTCATGTTTTCAGAAGTGGCATCTCATTTTTATTCATACAATAGAAAAGGAAAATAAGCTTTCCTGATTTTCAGCTTAACTTCTTCACTTTGAATGAAAATGTGTTTTCAAGCTAAACTGAAAGTCAGGAGCAATTAAATAAAAAAGTTTTCTGCACAATAAAGACTGGGTGTGCTGTCTTTGTAAATGAAGAAATGAAAAAGACTGAGGGAGGGAACCAAAAATAATTGAAAAAAAGCTGTCAAATGCCGTCAAAAATAGATCTTGGCAAACAGGTTTTTTTTCAGTGCAACTACACATGTATTGATTAAATAAATGTGCATATACACATATATATACACACCCCCCCCCGTAAGTCACAACATTTGGCTGATAAATCAATATTTTAAAGATATATCAACAAAAATTTAAGTACCACTCAACATTTGTATTAAGAAAGTCAACCCAGCACTCAAACAGATAAAAAATGATTTAGCATTCTCCAAGCAGAATTATAAACAGGAAGTCCTCTCTGCACGGATATGCATCTAGTCAGCCCCTTCAAGAGCTGTTCTTGTCCCTGCCCTATTTGAAAACTCAGAAATCCCCGAGTTCTTACAGAGACGGCACACAGATGAGGCAGATTGCCAAGCAATAAATATCTCGCTGCACAGACCATTGACAACAGGGCAGTCTGGGTCACCTGGCATCACAGCATGGCAAAGCATAGAAGTTTTAGTATAAGTGAAGTCCAGCCATACGTTGGTGGGAACAAAGTGCCCAGGCAAATCTAACAGAGTCAAGGACTACCTCGGAAAGCAACAACTCGGATGAGGACTTGGGGGTCATGACAAACAAATCACCGATAGGAGGCCAGTGCAATACTGTATCCAAAATGGCACGCAATTTTTCCATACATCAAAAAAGAAGATTAGTGAATAAGTAGTAACAAGGACTATTCTTTCCAACCTCCTACTGAAACTACTATTGAAATGGTATTTGCAGGTTCTGATGACCATAACTCTGTTTTTGTAAATATCACAGGAAGATCAGAGAAAACAGCTGAAAGATTGAAGAAACATGCCTCATCACAAGAGCCTCCTGGAACTAAATCTGTTTAGTATAATCAAAGAGAAGATTAAGGATGACTTGATTACATTTGTATGTAAGTATGCAAGAACAGAAATTTGGTCATTAAAAGCATTTCAGTTCGGATAATATATAACAAGAATCCAATGTAAAACACTGAAGCTATGCAAATCTAGGTGACAAATAAGACACTTCTGAGTGCATCAACACGATACAAGATAGCTGGCTCTCTACAAAATGTGCAAGGCAGTTTAGATAGATCATTAATAGCTTCAACAGTTATTCAAACAGCACAAAGGATCCTTGCTTCAATTCTCTCTTCCCTCTGTCCTCAGCTTTTTACATGTATTCCTGAACAAGAGCCCCTGAGTTCTCCATCTCCACTTGAAGCAGTAAGACTATACCTCAGCAAGAAGGGAGAACCGCACTTTCTCCACCCCAGCCCAGAGATATGTTCCCCCCCCAGGCAAGAGAACTCCGATCCAACTGAAATGTAACCATCTCCACTTCCAATCCTACCATTACATTTCAACCTGAACAGCAAGCTGATCTGATTGCACTGATTCACATACTGGGTTTAGCAGAGGGGATGCAGGAGGAACAAGTATGCAGGACAAGGAAAAGCCAGACTCTTCCTTTTCAGCAGCAGACTTTAGCTGACTAAATATACTGCAAAACTGTACCCTCACACTAGCCTCCATTTCAGGCAGCCTTGCTCCCCTGGCTTCTCCAAAGCGTGTTCTGGTTTTGTCATGTAGCAGAGATGTGCCTTAGGCTGACACTACCTTACCTTCCCCAGAGGTTTCAAGTCGGAGGAACTGTGGTGGTGATCACTGACTTGCAGCAGCAGATGACTGACAAGGCCAGGAAAGAAGACCAAGGAAGAAAGGGAAACCACCCCCCCCAGGAGGAGGAAAAAAAAAAAAAAAAAAAGAGAGAAGGAAAGAGAATAGTCAAGATGCACTGCAGCCCCATCCTCCATAGAAACCCTCTCTTCCAGCTTGCCCCCTGCAGCAACCTGCAGAGATGACCTGTAAAAGCACCCTTATGAAGTTCAACAGATGACATTTAACCAGGGCTACAAAACTATTTTTTTATGTACATAAAATATAACTCCAGCCATGTCACATGTTCTACCTCCTCTGGCTTTTTTTGAATGTTTTCTAATCTTACAGCACATGAACTCTAATGTTTTCAGTAACTTACTTTCTTCAGGAGGCAGAAAGATCATCGCTATCATATTCTAAATGCTTACGATGATTTAGGGGCTCATTACACTCAGACATAACCTAGGTTTTGCAGGCAGAGAAGCAGGTGCTCGATGCTTAAAGCAGCAAGTGACGTCAGTACAACACTCTTCGAGTATCTTGTGTCAAAACAGTAATTCTTCCCGCTGTCGCTCTGAAGGTCAAAAGCTTCCTCACAGTTGAATTCACTGAACAAGCAAAGCTGGGCATGCTACTTTATCTTACAGCCTGCTGACAATTCTGAATGCCAGAGTCAAATTGCCATTTGTGGAAGATAAAAAAGGAAGGCAAAACAAAAACAAAACCTTCTTGGCTTTGTCAATCTGTTCCACAATGTAGCAGGAGCAATTTCAATA